GGCCGCCCAACTGGGACCGACAGGCACGGAGGACCCAGTGCCTCGAGTGGTTCAATTCGCTCGTGGTCATCGACCGCGTTGAAGACAGGGACGAGATTCTGCCAAGTGAATCACCATCTACTCCTTTCACTATCCCTTTGGCAATGTATTTGAAACAAGACACATATCTTTTCCTAAACCCTGTGTACTGTTTCAGATAACCCAACCCTTCTCCCTCTCCTTGTGTGCCCTTGTCTGATCATGTATAGACAAGCGCAAAGCCCAGAGCGAGCTCCGCAACTTCGTTCCCGTCCTTGCTGCACTTCCCAAGGCGGACAAGTCATTCCACGCGGGGCTGAGCGCCATGCTCAAGACGCAGGACTGGAGGGACAGCTACCCCAACCTGGTCAACTTGTGGGTGGTGGTGGCTGCCCTTCCGTTGAGCACTGTCGAGTGCGAGCGCGGGTTCTCCCGCCAGAACGTCATCAAGAGTTGGCTGCGGGGGGCTCTCAAGGATACTAGGCTAGGAGATCTGATGTGCATGTTGCAGCTAGAGTATGACCCCGACTGGGAAGAGGTGGTCACCATCTGGCGGGCTTATAAGAAGAGGAAGCCCCTTAGCAATGCCCTGCCCGAGGCTAGTAGCAGCAGGAAGGGAAAGGAGAAAGTAGATGATGATATGCCGGCAGTGCCTCAGCAAGATATGCAGGATATTGAATGATTCCGTGTATGTAGTAAAATGTAGTGCATTCTCTAATGAAGAACCATAAAAAACGCTCATACACAAGTTTGGCTATGACTCTGATTGGTCAGACAAAAAATCGAAGGCTACTCTTATTTTTCAGACTTTTTCAAGGAGGTAACTCTGACACCCATACCAAGGGAAGGCAGTGGACTCTCACGAATCAGACAGGCCCAAAACCAATTTGGGGGCCTGGTTAGAATACTAGAATGCATGAAAACAAGAGAGAACTAGGGTTGGAGTTGTACTTGTCAACTTATACATATATTGTTATGTAGAAGTTATAGGCGAGATAGGGTATGTTCTTAGTGGGTACAACCCAAATGCTATATCTCCCTGTTAAGAATACTAGAAAGAATATGCTAGCTACGAGTAGGAGGAGCCATGAAATGGCGCGAGGTTTTAGGCTAGGAAAGTTGTGGAGAGAAAAGAGGGTGAGATTAGAAGAGAGAGGGATATAAGGAGGGAGTTGTACCCTCTACAGTAGGTTCCAGTAAGTAGCAGAACTACCAAGCCTACAATGATATAAAATATATAATTTAACACTCCCCCGTTCTCCCTTCTTCTAATCATTATTTCTAGTCTTCACATGGTATCACGAGTAGGTAGGTCCACCCACCCGCTTCCGCCCCATGCCGCCACCAACCGGACCCTCGCACCCCTACGGCCCCGTCGCGCCCCTAGCAAGCCCCGTCGCGCCCTTACGGCCCCGTCGCGCCCCTACGGCCCCGTCGCACCCCTAGCAGGTCCCGTTGCGCCACTACGGCCCTGTCGCACCCCTACCGCCCCGTCGCGCCCCTAGCATGCCCCGTCGCGCCCCTAGTAGGCCCCGTCGCGACCCTACGGGCCCGTCGCGCCCCTACGGCCCCTCGCGTCCCTAGCCGGCCGCGTCGCGCCCCTAGCTAGCCCCGTCGCGCCCCTACGGCCCCGTCGCACCCCCACGGCCCTGTCGCGCTCCTATGGCCCTGTCGCGCTCCTATGGCCCCGTCGCGCCCCTAGCCAGCCCCGTCGCGCTCCTACGGCCGTGTCGCGCCCCAAGGCGGCCTCGAGCGCCACTACGGCCCCTCGCGCCCCTAGCCGGCCCCGTCGCGCCCCTACCGGCCCCTCGTGCCCGTAGCCGGCCCCTCGCGCCCCTACGGCCCCTCGTGCTCCTACCCCCCCCCCCCCCCCCCCCCCCCCCCGCGTCCCTAGCCGGCCCCACGCGCCCTTGCCGGCCCCTTGTGCCCTAGCCGGACCCTTGCGTCCTAGTCGGCCTCGTCGCCTGAGCCACCGAGCCGCCATGTCCCCGAGCTGCCGAGCATCCGCGCCGCCGAGCCGCCGTGCCACCGAGCGGCCGTGCCGCCGAGCCGCCGTGTCCCCGAGCCGCCGCGCTGCCGAGCCGCTGAGCCGCCGAGTCGCTGCGCCGCTGAGCCGCTGTGCCGCGGTCACACTGTGCGATGGCGGACGCCGTTCTTCGCTTGGACGCTGAGGGGCACGCGATCGACTTCGTCGCCCGGCTCGTCGACCTCCGCCGGCACCTGACAGGTCAGCACCATGATGGGCAATCCCTGGCTATGCATGTTGATGGTTTGCTTCCCCGCCCCCCTGCGCCTGATCCCCTCTTTGCTGACCCTACCTCTGCTGAGAGCAAGGCTTTTGCTGTTGCTGCGCTTGCGCGAGCTGTCTGGGATTCTCGCGATGCAGTAGCCCAGCTTGCCATTAGCCATGCCCTCCCCCTGTCCGAGCGTCCGCGCTTTACCACTATCGCGAATGCCAAGGACTTTCTCGCTGTAGTAGTTGAGCGTTACTCCACACCTGCTTCCGCCTCTGCTGGCCGCTTGATCCTACCCATGCTCTTCCCTGATCTTTCTGCTTTCCCCACGGTAGCTGACCTCGCTACTCACCTCCGTGCACTAGAGACCAGCTACCACGCTGCTAGCTCTGCCGCCCAGCTTACTGCCTTCCCCCCACCTTTCTGCGCTACCCTGCACCTCATCGCCATGCGCTTTCCTGACCGCTTAGCCATTGCCCGCGACCACTTCCTTAGTCAGCACCCTGCCGACCTCACCCTGACCGCCTTTGTCACTACTCTGTCTGAGATAGAGACTTGCCAGCGCACTATCGCTCAGTCGAGCGGTGTTGCGGCAGTCCCTATCTTTCAGGGCTGTGCCCCCTCCTAGTGCACGTACGTTGACGTCTCCGCCGCAGTTGCCATGACTACACCTGCACCTGAGACAGCAGCTGCGGCTTACCCGCAGCAGCGCCAGCGCCGGGGCCGTTGTGGCCCCAAGGGAGGACGTGGAGGTGGCGCTAGTGGTGGTGGTGGCGGGGAAAAAGGTTATGACGAGGGGGTTGGTGCTCGTGCCCAGGAGCAGCAGTAGTCGCCGCAGTCGCAGCCGCCGCAGCAGCAGCAGCAGAAGCCGCAGCAGCAGCAGCAGTAGCAGCAGCCGTGGGCTCGTCTCCCACCCGGGTGGTCAGGTGACTTTGGCGGTGGTGGTCGTGGTGGTGGCCCTAGCAGCTCTGCGTCCACCGGCAACTTCGGTGCTGTGAGCTGCCCGTACCAGCTTCAGACCGGGCCCCTGCGTGGCATGGTGTGTCGCCGCTCGCACCCCACCGCCCGCTGCTTCCCTCGACGACCTCTTCCGTCGCCGCTTTGGTCCCGCCCCGGACCTCCCTGACTGGCCCAGCCTGCTGCGCCATGGTGTGCCTGTGTTTGACTTAGACGTGGATCAGATTAGTTCTGCCTTGCATTCTCTGTATGCTGACGCTTTGAGTGTTTTCGGATCGTATTACTCTGTGTTCTCTAGCTTAGGCGTAGCACCTGTGTGTAGTCCAGACTCCCCTGCTGCGTCAGGCATAGGACAGCTTGCTTTGTCTAGCCTAGGCTCTACCCTTGCTCCTCCGTCATCGGCCACTACAGCGTCCCTGACCTTCACTCTAGACTCTGATGCGTTAGCCTATTTCTTCCGTGACCACGCCGACCTCACGCCGCTTGCTGTGCCTGCCGCTGTCGCCCTTGCGGACCCCTCCTCTGGTCCTGTAGTTGCTCGCAGCTACACTACCCTTCCCTGTCCGACGGTTCTCTCGGGTTCCCTTATAGGCCTGCACATCCCTTCGTTCTCCAGGAACTTAGTTGGTGTCGGCTGTCTTCAGGACCTCGTCGTAACCACTACGTTCCCTGGTCACGAGCGGTACGCGCTCTGTTCCGAGGCCGCCTCAGGTGCCCCCCTTGCGACGTTCCCCCGGGACCCTGTGTCTAGCCTGTTTACGCTGGACACCGCTCCCCCCCCGGCGAGCAAGTCCTCCTTCGGTCCTGCGTCCACCCAGGTAGCTGCGGCTTGCTCGTGTCGGTCGTTCACTCACCTGTCCCTGTTGTTGCGCCACCGTCTAGGTCACCCTACGCTCCCCCCCCTGCGCCACATGTCTCAGCACGGTCTAGTCCTCGGCCTCCCTGCGTCGCTCCCTGCTCTCCCTCCCTCGCCTGTGCCGCCGTGCACACCCTGCGTCGAGGGCCGGCCGCGCCATGCTCCTCACTCCTCCTCACTTCGCCCTGCCACTGCACCCCTTCAGACCCTGCACCTGGATGTCTGGGGCCCAGCCCCTATCCCAGGGCCGCGTCGCGAGCACTACTTTCTTGTGCTCATTGACGACTTCACGCGCTACACCACGGTGTTTCCCCTAGAGCGAAAGGCCGACATGCCTGACGTTCTTATTGTTAGGATTAAGGACGGAGTCTAGGTGAACTTAGGAGCTAGAATTACTCAAAATATAAATCCGAAATTCTGGACAGAAAAGTCGTCTTCACAAGAAACGACGTCGACGAAAAACTAGCCGTTGGAATGTCGCGAAACTTGGATATGTTGTAGCTCTTAATCTCAGCTACCGTTCCCAATTCGAACCATGTTGATTGATGAAGTATTCGCGACACTATGGCTTTCGACGCACTAGGGGGTAAGCTGTAGGAGGAGAACTTAACTCAATCTCAAGAGTTCAATCAAAGTTCAAGAATCTCACAAGGAATTAGAAGGAGCAAGAGAAAGGTTGGGATAGGAAGAGAGGGATGAGAGGGAAGGTCCCAAGAGAGTCCCCAACCAAGGAAACCCCATAAGCACAAAGATTCCCTCCCTATAGGAACCTCAACTTTGACCTTTGTCCCTTCCCAACCAATCCATCCAAGTTGGCCACCCTTGCCAACCTAGCTTGGTTGTTCCCAACCTATTTGCAGCTGTTACAGTAGAGTGACAAGTTTCCCCAACCCCAAAGGTCCCAACTCCATATAAAGTCACCCCACAACTTCACTTAGTAACCGCCGCAATTGTAACGCAAGCTCATGAACTTTGAATCTTCATAGCTTTCGCGTTCTTGCTCCGATTGAAGCGATTCTTGTTGCGTCGGAAAGATCTTCTCAAGATCTATTATCACAAATACCTGCTCAAACAAAAATAACACAGAACACATTCCCAAACTCCAGAACACACCACACACAAATGCTTGCACATTCAAACCACACATGCAAGTTGAAAAAACATGGGATGGGAGGCAGACAGAATGTGATAGCATATGATGACATCACACAACACTTATCCTGTGGCTCGTCGCTGCGCGCCTCCACCGCGGTCTCCCTGTGCTGTGTCTCCACTCCGACCGTGGCGGTGAGTTCGCCTCTGGTCGGCTGGGCACACTCCGAGCGGCCAAAGGTTTCGCCGACCCTCCTCTGGACCGGGTCCTCTGGTGACGCGTTTGCGTTCCACATCTGGTGCCGCCTTGCTCATGTCCGTGCCTCCGGCACGGACAAGCTCAATGCCCGCACTGTCCCTTGTGTCTTCCTTGGCTTCCCTCTCAATGCTTCTGACTGGCACTTTTACCACCCGCCGTCTCACCATTTCTTTCACTCTCGTGACGTCACTTTTGATGAGTCTGTCTCATTCTACACCCGATTTCCCACCGAGTTCTCCCAGTCACCCCGCCCCTGTTCGTGGTCTCCACTCCCCCGGTAGCCCTTGCTCCTCTTCCTCCCCGTCCTGCCCCATCTGGTGTGTCTTACGTCACTCCCCTTCCGTCGGTTGTCTCGGTGGAGGAGTCTGCTGACTCTGGGGGCCATGTGGCTCCGGTTTCGCCGCCTGTCTCTGCCTCTGTATCTCCTCCTCCGCAGCCGCAGCAGCAGCCGCCATCGTTTCCGCAACAGCAGCCGCCGTCGCCGCTGTTGCCGACCTCACCCTCCACGGCCTTCCCCTTGCACTTGCATTTCGCAGATGTGAAGACAACACTTCGTGCAGGGCGTCTTAGCTTCTCTTACCAGGTTGCAAGGGCTTTAGTCCAGTTGATGTCGTACTGCAGTAGCGAGGTGGCCATGAGCTCGGAGAGGCACACGTTGCAAAGGGAGCCACGGACCCAGACGCTTAGTGAAAATATCTGCTGCCTGCTGATGGGTCTTCACTATCTCCAGCCGCACCTCCTTATCAAGGATTCTCCTCACCCAATGCCACTTAGGCCTTATGTGTTTTGTCAGCCCATGCAGACAAGCATTCTTGGCCAGCTTCACTGCAGACTCATTGTCACAGAACACAACTGTCGGCTCCTCCTGACCAACTCCCAACTCCTCCAACAAACGCCTCAGCCATACCACTTCCTTGGCCCCATGGTGTAAGGCCATGTACTCAGTCTCACATGAAGACAATCCCACCTCATTCTGCTTCTTGCTGCGCCAGCTCACAGCACCACCTCCCAGCAAGCACACATAACCCCCAATGCTGGTGCCATCCGCTTTCACTGAGTTGAAGCTAGCGTCAGTATAGCAACTCAAGAGCATCTCACCACTCTTCACATCTGCAGCACCTCTCTGCAACCGCTGCCTCACTCCACTGTACTCCAATCCCACTGATGCCGTAGCACTCACATAGCGGACCAACCTCTTGGCCGCTTCCAGCTGCTCATGACTAGGGCGTGAGACCACACTAGCCAACCGTGATGTAGAAAATGCAATGTCAGGCCGTGTATGATTTGCAGCATAATTCAGCGACCCAACCATCGAATGAAACAGCTTCCTGTCACTCTCACCCACTACCTCCTCATCAGCACATGGCTCCACAGTAAACCCTGAAGGTAGTGGTGTTGCTGGCTTTCCCCCATCTTGCAGCCCATACTTCTCAGCCAGCCCCTCACAGTACTTCCTCTGGTGCAACCTCAGCACACCCTTTTCCACATCTCTCTCCACATGCATCCCCAAGTAGTACTTCACCTCACCCATCTTGGAGCACTTGAACTGCATCTCCAGCATCTGCTCTGCGCTGTCCAGCAAAGCAGTGGATGCAGAAAAGAGAAGGATATCATCCACATACACCAAGAGCATGAGGATTTCATCCTTCTCCTGCAGCAGGAACAGGCTGGGGTCACACTCACTCTTCTTGAAACCCCCAGCCACCAGCGCCTCCTCCAACTTGTGATACCATGCACGAGGCGCCTGCTTAAGGCCATAGATTGCCTTCTTCAGCCTGCAGACCCTGCCGCTCCCATCATCCAGCCCCTCTGGCTGCTTCATGTACACCTCCTCCATAATGATCCCATTCAGAAAGGCAGTCACAATATCCATCTGCCGAATCTTCCATCCCAGGAGTGCAGCTATCGCCAACAGCACCCTCAGTGTTGTTCCTTTCCCCACAGGAGCAAACACCTCATCATAGTCCTTCCCCTTTGTCTGCTGAAACCCCCGTGCCACAAGCCTAGACTTGTAGCGGGTCAGCTCCCCTTCAGGTCCATACTTGTGCCTGTAGATCATCTTGGAAGTGATTGCCTTCTTTCCAGGAGGCAAGTCACACAGGTCCCATGTCTCGTTCTCAATTAGGGACCCGAACTCCTCATCCTCACTCGCCTTCCACTTCTCCCCATTTGGTCCATTCAAAGCCTCTTCTCGAGTCTTGGGCTCAGGGATTGGTGCCCAGTAGCAGTGAGCGATCTCATCTTCCTCAATCTGCTCAACCACACTCCCAGCCTGCACCACATTCGGCTTGCCTCTTCCCCCATAGGTCAGCCTCACCGGAGGGCGCACATCCCTCCTAGGTCGCTCAGGCGGGTGTGGAACTCGAGATGGAGACTCATGCTGCTGCTGCTGCTGCTGCTCTACTTCAGCTGCTCCCCCTTCCTCAGTCACCCCAGACATCTCCTCCTCTGACACTGCAACCTCCACCTGTCTTGAAGGCTGCTGCACCTCATCTGCCTCCACAATGAGCGGTGTAGATGGAAGCTTCTGTTGCTGCTGCTTCCATTCCTTGTAGTACAGGGACTCAAGAAACTTCACATCCCTTGACACTGTCAACTTCTGGGTGGTCAAGTCCCATAGCAGCCACCCCTTGTGATCCTTTGCAATCCCCAAGTGCACACCCCATCTTCCAGAAGCCTCCAACTTCCCCCTTTTCTCCTTAGGCATATGAAACACCACCATGCACCCAAATGCCCTCAGCATGTTCACAGCTGGAGCACTCCCATACCACTTGACATATGGGATCCACTCCTTATCTCCAACTGTAGCCAGCACCCTGTTCTTCACAAGGGCGACCTGCCTCAGTGCAGACACCCAAAATGGATCAGGCAGCCCTGCACGCCCAAGGAGAGTGCGTGCCCCCTCCTGCAGGGTCCTGTTGAACCTCTCAGCCACGCCATTCTGCTGCGGGTTGTAGGGCACTGTCAGTTGATGCTGGATCCCCTTCCTCTTCAACTCCCCCTCAAAATCAGCTCCAATGAACTCCCCACCATTATCACTGCGGATCACCTTCACCTTGTGTCCGCATTCCCTCTGAGCTCTAGGCATCCACTCCTTAAGGACAGCCGCTGCCACCTCCCCCTTGCTGTTCAAAGGGTAAACCCACACTGCCCGAGTGTGGTCATCCACAATTGTCAAGAAATAGCGGCTGCCTGAGAGGGAAGGGGCTCTTGTGGGCCCCACCACATCCATGTGCACAAGTGCAAGTGGGGTCTTGGCTGGTCCTGTTGCACTGTTGAAGGGGAACTTGGAGAACTTGGTCTCCAAGCATGTAGGGCAGCTCCCAATCTCCTTCACTTCCCCTTTCACCTCCAAGCCCTTCAGGCTCCCATTCTTCACCAACTTCTGCAGCATAGGGAAGTTCACATGACACAACCTCTCATGCCATGTCTCCCAATCGGCCTCTCCACTCCTTGATGAAGCCTTAGCCCATGCCGCACTCGCATCCACACCAGCAAGCACCTCACCATGTGTCTGCTGCTGCTGCACTTTCTTGACTGCTTCCAGGACCCCATCAATTGGTGCAGTTGCATCTCCTCCTGCTGTTGCCTTTGCCGCTGCTGCCGTTGCTGCTGTTGGAGTCTTCCCATTCCAAGGGATGATGGGCAGCTGCCACAGGTCCTTGATGCAGCTGGTCTCCTCTTCCAGACTCCACAGCACCTTCTTCCCAAGCTTAGCACGGCAGCTGGTTGGTCCAAAGGTCACTTCGGCCTTACTCTTCTGCAGTCGCCGCACAGAGAGAAGGTTAGCAGACAAGCCTTTAACCAGCAGAACATTCCCAAGCCCCACAAGCTCCCCATTAGCTCCCTTAACCTTGGCATTCCCAACACCAATCACGGGGAGCAAAGCACCTGATGCTGCTGCCACATACTTAATCTTCCCAGGGGGTTTTACCTCATCAAGCAAATCTGCCCGTGGAGTCATGTGACTGGTGCAACCCGAATCAATCACCCAGTGCGTGAGAGGATGCATCACAACCTTTCCCACAGATCCCACATCACCCTCATGCCCATGCACATCCTCAACCATGAGATACATCCCAGGATAGGCGTTACCTTGTGCACCTTCACCTTGTGCACCTGAGCCTTGCACAGCGCCACCTTGTGCGCGTTCACCACTTGGCGGCTTCATGCCTGGAGGTGCCCATCCCTCCGGCCTGCTGAAGCACTTGAACCAAGGATGCCCGACCTTCTTGCAGTACCAGCAGGTGCCCTCCATTCTGGTACTCCCCCTGCCACTGGAGCTCCCATGCCTCTCATTATAGTCACCTCGGCCTCTACCTCTGCCAAAGCTTCTCCCACGGCCTCGGCCTCTCCAACCCCCTCTTCCTCTGCCGCGCCCTGCAGCTCCATACCCCTCAGCAGTCTTAGTGGCAGCACCGCCTCCCACATGGCGTCTGCGGAAGTCCTCCTGCAGAATCTGCTGCCTTAGCCACTCAGGTGTCCATTGATCTTGCTGAGAGTTGAGGGTGGGGATGAGGTTGTCCCAAGAGTTGTCCAACACCGAGATGATCTTGGTGCACTGCTGCAGCTGAGATACACTGCTACCCGCTGCTGCCATCCTTGCATAGGTGTCCTTGATCTTGTCAAGGACCGGCTTCACATCGTCCCCTGGTCGCATGGAGATGGCAGCAAGTTCCTTCTCGAGCACGATCACCATCGGGAGAGTGTTGGGCTGAATCACATCGCGTAGTAGTTTCCACGCCCTTGGACCCGAATCATCCGCTTCCACAAGATCCTTGATGTGCTCGAACATCTCCTTGTTGACCGATTGAAGGATGAGGTCGAAAAGCACCGCGCTTTTCTCAATCCACCGTTCACGTGCTTCGCCTTCTTCCGGCATCTTCTCTTCCCCAACAGCAATCTTCAGTAGCTTGTAGCGTTTGAAGGCACTCCTCATCCGTCCGCTCCATTCCTCATAGTTGGAGCCATCCAAAGCTTCAACTTTTGATGGCGGCGGCTCACTTGCCTTCTCAGCTAAAGCTCCTCTTCCATTAGCATCTCCTCCTCTCTCATTCATCTTCTCCTTGAGAAATGACGAATTTCAGCCCCCCTTTGCTGTCCCACTCAGCTCCCTCGATATTTTCACAAGTATCGGCGTCCACGAAATTTCGGCAGAGTTTCCCTTAGCGGAAGACACATCCAACATTTAGAACACCACTTAGGCACACCCACAGGCCATGGTGGGTCTAGAAGGGTCTTCACACTTCTGTAGACTCCTCTCAATATCCTTAATATGGCTCTGATACCACTTGTTAGAATTAAGAACGGAGTCTAGGTGAACTTAGGAGCTAGAATTACTCAAAATATAAATCCGAAATTCTGGACAGAAAAGTCGTCTTCACAAGAAACGACGTCGACAAAAACTAGCCGTTGGAATGTCGCGAAACTTGGATATGTTGTAGCTCTTAATCTCAGCTACCGTTCCCAATTTGAACCATGTTGATTGATGAAGTATTCGCGACACTATGGCTTTCGACGCACTAGGGGGTAAGCTGTAGGAGGAGAACTTAACTCAATCTCAAGAGTTCAATCAAAGTTCAAGAATCTCACAAGGAATTAGAAGGAGCAAGAGAAAGGTTGGGATAGGAAGAGAGGGATGAGAGGGAAGGTCCCAAGAGAGTCCCCAACCAAGGAAACCCCATAAGCACAAAGATTCCCTCCCTATAGGAACCTCAACTTTGACCTTTGTCCCTTCCCAACCAATCCATCCAAGTTGGCCACCCTTGCCAACCTAGCTTGGTTGTTCCCAACCTATTTGCAGCTGTTACAGTAGAGTGACAAGTTTCCCCAACCCCAAAGGTCCCAACTCCATATAAAGTCACCCCACAACTTCACTTAGTAACCGCCGCAATTGTAACGCAAGCTCATGAACTTTGAATCTTCATAGCTTTCGCGTTCTTGCTCCGATTGAAGCGATTCTTGTTGCGTCGGAAAGATCTTCTCAAGATCTATTATCACAAATACCTGCTCAAACAAAAATAACACAGAACACATTCCCAAACTCCAGAACACACCACACACAAATGCTTGCACATTCAAACCACACATGCAAGTTGAAAAAACATGGGATGGGAGGCAGACAGAATGTGATAGCATATGATGACATCACACAACACTTATCCTGTGGCTCGTCGCTGCGCGCCTCCACCGCGGTCTCCCTGTGCTGTGTCTCCACTCCGACCGTGGCGGTGAGTTCGCCTCTGGTCGGCTGGGCACACTCCGAGCGGCCAAAGGTTTCGCCGACCCTCCTCTGGACCGGGTCCTCTGGTGACGCGTTTGCGTTCCACATCTGGTGCCGCCTTGCTCATGTCCGTGCCTCCGGCACGGACAAGCTCAATGCCCGCACTGTCCCTTGTGTCTTCCTTGGCTTCCCTCTCAATGCTTCTGACTGGCACTTTTACCACCCGCCGTCTCACCATTTCTTTCACTCTCGTGACGTCACTTTTGATGAGTCTGTCTCATTCTACACCCGATTTCCCACCGAGTTCTCCCAGTCACCCCGCCCCTGTTCGTGGTCTCCACTCCCCCGGTAGCCCTTGCTCCTCTTCCTCCCCGTCCTGCCCCATCTGGTGTGTCTTACGTCACTCCCCTTCCGTCGGTTGTCTCGGTGGAGGAGTCTGCTGACTCTGGGGGCCATGTGGCTCCGGTTTCGCCGCCTGTCTCTGCCTCTGTATCTCCTCCTCCGCAGCCGCAGCAGCAGCCGCCATCGTTTCCGCAACAGCAGCCGCCGTCGCCGCTGTTGCCGACCTCACCCTCCACGGCCTTCCCCTTGCACTTGCATTTCGCAGATGTGAAGACAACACTTCGTGCAGGGCGTCTTAGCTTCTCTTACCAGGTTGCAAGGGCTTTAGTCCAGTTGATGTCGTACTGCAGTAGCGAGGTGGCCATGAGCTCGGAGAGGCACACGTTGCAAAGGGAGCCACGGACCCAGGACTTAATCACGTTATGTTGGGAAAAGCCCCTCTTGCATTCGACTGTTGACAGAGGCAGCACGGCGCAGGCCTGCCCCAAGCGCATCAGATTTGGCCAGCGCCTAACACGGGGCTGAATTATAGGCGGACGAAATGCAGAAGAGAGTGCATTGAGGTTAGGCGGATTACATAGGAGGTTTAGGGGCGGACGGCAAAAGCGGCAATGCTGTGCACACTTGACAAGTAGAATGGATGGCGGTGAATCGGAAACACCATACCCATGGATTTGCCTGCTCAAGTCGGCCTTTGTGAGGTAGTTTGCCAGGCCCTGATGGAAGCTCTCCACCTTGTGATGGTTCTGCATGATCGGCACCCAGGTTGCGAGCTCCGTCTCCACTGCCTTGAGGTCGAAGAAGGTCAGCTTGTGGTCGAAGATGCCACTGCAGCCATGGAGATACTCTCTCGTACACTTCTTGCGCTACGCCCGTTGTCTTGGCCACTTCGCTGCCACCCACAGCTTCATCGGCGACATCTTCCGGAGATCCAACATTCGCTCTCGTACGTTGGTCATGGTATCCTTGGCGTGTTTCTGGCACATCTGCACGCAGTCCTTGTAGCTGCTCCCATACTGGTGCTTGTCGAGGTGCCGCTCCTACATCTTGTGCATGTGGGTGATGGGGCTTCCCTCCTTGTCGATGCCGCACACCTTCACACGCTTCGACGCGTCGCGCCCGTACACCGTGAGGAACGCCGACAGCCAAGTGTTTTCGGCACCATCACCGAAAACCTCCCCGCACTCGACATAACGGTGCCACAGATCCCGCAGCGTCGCGTCGATGTCTGTTGCCACCTCTGTGACATCAACCTGCGGTGTGGGGTGGAGGACACAGAGGAGAGGATAAGACATTAGTAGTTGCAGCAGAGGAGAACACCATGATCGCAGATATGAGCATCTCACCTCTTGCTTATGGAACTTGAGGTTGAGGTTGTTCATGACTGCCAGCATGTCGGCCAGGTAGAAGAGGCAAAACTGAAACTTATACAAAATCACAACATCATACAGGGGATGCTCATACTCATACAGCAGGACAATCACAACACCCAACACCTTACACAGGCGTCGGATCGCCTCACCCCTAGACAACCATCGAGCTTGATGGATGCCTTGGAACTCCAAGTTCGTGCTGTGAATCGCCCGCTGGAGATACTTGAATCGACCGCTCCATACGCTCGACCGGCCGAGAAGGTCCGCAAGGGTGCGAGTGATCTTGTCAACCATGTCGAGGTCTGGATAGGAAGCGGCGGCGTCCTTTACATCAAGTGCTTCCCTGCAGGTACCCACACGGGAACAAAAGAACAAAAGAAAGAAAGGAAGAAAGAAAAAGTATCACCAAACAGGGTGAAATAGTACAACAACCTGTGGGCGATGCAGTGGGAGGAAACGAGGTGCGGGATGATGTCTTGCATGCATTCCACAAGGCCGTTGTCTCGCCCGAATATCGCCGACGCTCCGTGTATGCTGATGCCGACGATGCGCTGAAGGTCGATGCCTGACGACTCCAGGTGGACTAGGAGAATGGCCATGAGAGAAGCGGCGTCACACTTAACGCTTAGCAGGGCTAGGAATTCGGTGACGACTCGACGCAGCCGCATGAATGTGATGTAGACGATCAGGTGCTTCCCTTGCCTGTGGTCGGTGCTCTTGTCGCATGAGATGCCGAAGTAGGGTGAGGTCTTGATGTGCTCCATCTGAGTAGCCAGCAGATGAGTTGACAGACAGTTGACCATCTGCTGGAACCCGTACCTGCAGTGGCATAAACAGAAATGAACGCAGTCATTAGTTAACATTTCAACTGATGAAACATTCACATGGCAGTTAGCAAAATCCAACCATCGAGCGGCGAAAACTAGGTAACCTCACCTGGTGAGATACACTCCATACGACTGGAGAGGTATTCTGGCGTGTCTTGCTCTGCCATGAAACGGAGTAGCCTAAGAAACATGGCGATGAGAGCATCATTCTTGCAAAGAAATTCGACGCACCGGAAAAGACGGATGACGTGGCGGCCCTCGACGTCGACGGTGGCGAAGCTTGTAGTCTTCTGCTGCTTGTCTTCGATGTCCTTCTAGATCGGAGCTGCCGACGAACTGCCTCTTCATGGAATGTAGAGTGTTCATGGATGCGCATCGTCTGTGTCTGGAGATCTCGCCCGTCGTCGCCTGGGCTTGAGTACTTCGTCGTCTCTTTGCCAAAGGCTCGGCAAACGCTGCACTTAAGTGTGGGGTAGCCATCCTTAGTATGGGTAAGTATTAGCCACGGGAAATAACAAAGCCAATCATTCTTATTCTTAGCTTCAGCGACCAGGTACTTCTGCTCGATCAACTCCTTTGTACTTAGCTTCGGTGGCGGCGGTTCATCAGGGCGGGTGACGGGGGGAGGTGATTGCGGTGGTGAGGGAGGACGAATCTGGCCAACAAATTTTGATACACTGCTGCGTATACTTCGTCGAGCGTTGTTTCTTCGCCGATGAAAAAGTAGGTGCACAGGGCACACCGTAACGAACGGTAGAGGCGGTGGCACAGTCAATAGGGTCCACAGATCCTCTGCTCGAAGATGCTATGGATGGTGGGAGGACGAAGGAGCGGGGTCAGGACTACAAGGCAACAATGGCACGTCGCGCGGTGTTTCGTCGAAAGCGGTTGTGGCAACCAAAGGCGGAGGAGCCGATGCGGCGGCAGGTCGCAAGATGTCTCGGCCGCTCCTACGCGCTACGGCAGGATCCTTACTACTGCGCAGCTCATCACCGTCAGCAGGAGCATCGTCGGCGCCACCCTTTTCAGGCATGGCAAGAGGAGAAACAACGGGAAAAAACTAAAGAAAGCGACTACAACTACGCATGTGACTCAGACAAACGAAGAGATGAAACGATTCCCTATGCGTTCAAAGCTGATGGGTAAGGAACGGCTGGAGGAGAAGGGACCCATCTAACCCGTGTCGCACCTTTCTTGAAAGGCGTGACGCGGTTTTCGGGCCTGTCCTTGCACAACACAACACTATGCAGCCTTCTCGACGTGTCGGCAGCATTTGCAGCCTATGGGGAAGATGCCCAACCTCTGTAAGACCGGCACAGAGGGCACGGGCCCCAGGTTTGCAAATGCACAGAGAGCAACAGAGCAGAATCTGCGGACTTGGTGGGATTTCCTGCTAAGTGTGGATTCTACACGTGACACGGGCAGGAAGCACTGATGGCAGACGAAATTTCAGGGGATCTTGCATGCCCCATGGAAGTCTGTTTCAGGGCGTATTCATACCGTCCTGGATCAGGATCAGCATTCCTGATCCTGGTTCCTCCAGATCCTGCCATTTTGCAGCCTATCAGGCCCCCAAATATCAGGCTTTTTCCCCTGATTTTGCTCCTTTTTTTTTTCAGGGCGTTTGTTTGTACCGACCCTGATGAGAAAGTTGTAATTGGCGTATGGACCCTGATTTTCCAGTGCTTGTTTAGATGTGGACCCTGATTTTTCAGAGTGTTTAGGCTTATGCACACTGACGCGTCAGCACCATATCAAAGAGTGACACTGAAACAAAGTCTTGCGCGATTTCGGGAAGTTTGTGCATGGTCAGTGCCGTGCCGTGCCCATCCCCCCCCCCGTCCGTCAATCACGGGGGTGAATGTACAGCGCATCTGAACTAAGTCGGGCAGCATCTGAATTGCTGCCGCGCTGTTGGCAGCGTTCACCATACTTGCCCGCCAATTGCTCCTTGACGAAACATGCGTACGCCTACCAATTGGGGTCGGTCGCTCAGGTTGATGCTTAGCGCGACAAAATTGTCGACGAATGTGGCCCTACAAAGGTGCTCCCACCTCCAGTCAAGCTGTCGTTGGGCCATCGTCTGCCTCACTAGAAAGTGCGTAGGTGGTTATCTTCACACAGCAGCTCAGTCGTTCTCGCCAGGACAGCGATGTCCTCACTAGATTTTTCCCTGCGCATCCCTATCTCTGCCTAGTTTGCCCCACTGTTCTGGTGACGATACACCAGGCCTGCCCCATGGAGGGGGATGAAATGGCATCTGCCAACTTCGAGGCAGAGGCCAATCTGCCTGGCCAAGTTTCTCGCTCTGCGCTAGATTTCATCCTGAACACGCTCACGCCGCCCCCACCTAGAAGCCAGTCTCGTGCCGCTCTTCCCGTAACTGCCGCTTCTGTTTCACTACCCTCACCAAAGCCTCCTGCTGTGGCATCGAACTCTAGCCCACCGCTTCCCGAATCTATTGCTGAGGCTCGGCAAGACGCGGATCCGCCGCCTGTTGTGCGTTTGCGAGATAGCGGCCCTGTGAACACTGCACCGCCCCCACCCTCCCCGCTTCCCTCTCCCGCGTGGATCTGCACTGGTGATGAGGAGGACGTCGCTGACATCAGACCTGCCAACTGCGAGAAGGACTCCCCAGCTGCGCCGCCGTCCGACAAGTCCAGTGCCTGCGCGGCCAAGCGTGCTGTGCACTACCGTCAGGAGACGCTGCCGTTCGCCAAATCTCCGGTTGCGACTGCGTCTACCGTCGCTGCAGAAGACACGGGCCCTTCCTCTGCTCCAGTTTCCACAACTCTCAATTTGATTGAGCTGCTGTATATGGATGCTCATGAGAAGTACAAGTTGCTCTGACAAGATTGCTATCCATGGCTTGTTTTGACTAAAACTGTTGCTGGTTTCCCAGCTTTCAAGTGCAGCGTTTGTTCCGAACACGTAGGTGACAACGGCAAGACTGGTCAAGCTGGCGAGGGGGCGAAGGATGTTCAATCCCAGGCTTTCAAATGGCACGCTGCGACGAACAAGCACAAGCTGGCTACACAGCGCCAGCCGGACTTGTTGCAGCAGGCGACGCGACAGCCCCGCATCGACGAGCACCCCGTGGCTGTCGACTTGGAGAGAGAGTGTGTGACAGCCCTCATCGACGCTTTGCTGTTCAACGCGCAGAGCAACGAACACATGGAGGGTTGGGTTCGGCTCGTCAAATATATGTCGACGAAGGGGGTCCAAGGCTTCCCTAAGAAAGCGTATGGCACGTACTACAATTCGTAAGTGCCTTTTTTTTATCTAGGCACATTCACTGCTCGGTTTGTTTTGTGTTGAATAACCACTCAGTACTAATGGTTTAATCTCTTGTAATGTGGCAGGTATGGTTTTGGCGAGTTTACACAAGCTACTGCAACTTGGCTGCAAACAACACAGCTCGACCACATTCGCACAAGCCCTTACCTCGGCCTCAGCATCGGCGAGTCGACAGATAGGTGCCGTGGGAAGCACCTGATTGTCTACGCCACATTCCTGCACGAGAAGAAGATTGTCACCGAGTTCTTCGCTCTACTCACCGTGGAGCAGGCGGATGCGGCGTCGCTATTGGGGCTCGTCCTCTCGCATCTGCAAGCTGTTGGTGTCGATCTGGCACGCATCACGGGCATCAGCACGGACGGAGCGGCAGTCATGATGGGAGTGCGGAGTGGAGTTGTTGCTCGCCTTCGGACACGAGTTCCCCACCTCGTGTCCTGCCACTGCATTGCGCACCGGTGAGTTATGGCTTGTTGCCCGTCTACTCATGCTTTCCCATTCTAAACGCACGGCTTGCATCACTCCGTGCTCCAGATTTTTTAAACAAAGTACACTAATCATGCTGTCCCATTCTTTGCAGAGAGGCGTTAGCTACGAAGGATGTTGCAGAGTCTTTGCCCGAGTTCGGCATGATCGACGCGTTCCTTCGGTGGTTTTCCGAGTTCCTCGGATGCTCGGGACCATGGCATCAGCGGTTCTTGGACCTGCAGGAGCTATTCATTCAAACCTCCTTGGAGCTTCAGGGCATCCACAACGTCCGGTGGTTGTCCCGCGGTGAGGCCGTGCTGAGGTTGGTTGCTGTGCTGCCTGCAGTGATCGTCATGCTTCATGAGCTGAATGATGTGGCGATGTATAAGCTTGTGACGAGCTACTTGTTTCAGTTTCTGCTGTATTTCCTGCCGACTTGTTTGAGCAGCTGAACGTCTTGAACAAGACGTTCCAGCAACGCGAGGTGCGTTTCTTTAAACCTCATGCCCTCCTGTTGATGTGTACGTTACCCGTGTCTGTTGATGTGCAGATTCTAATATCCCCTATCTGTTACTTGCAGCTCGACATCGCCAGCGTCCAGTCCCAGATCGCCCGCACCACCAGCTTCATCGAATCTCGTTACGTCGACTGCGGCGACGATTTCTCGGTGGAGGTCTTAGCGAGCGGCTCTCCAAGTTCCTGAGGCTCCACGGCGAAGGTGGAACCCGCCACGTGACGGTGCAAGGCGTGGACGCTGACGGGCGGCCGGTCACCCACACATACCTACTTCACGATGACCCGCTGGAAGGCTACGAGGGGCCGTTCACCCACAACCATGGCGTGGACCTTTGTACTGCCATAGCGGAGGCCATGGTTCAGAGCTTACTGGATAGGCTAGGGGACCTGGACAACCTGTCGGGCTGCCGTCTCTTCATCTCTGATGGCTGGCCACCCGCGAGGCAGGGGCGCAATGACTTGTGCCTTGAAAATCTTATGTCTCTGGTCACCATGTTTCCGGCGCAGCAGGCGGACGAGATTCTGCCAGGTGCGTCTCTTTTCTATTCAATGAACCCCCCTTCCCTTCCACTTACCACCCCCCTCCCACTTGTGATGTTTTGTTTCTCCTTTTGAGCTTTCATTGTTCAAAGTTTGTTGTGCGCTTGAACGTACCAGACTTTAAAACTGTGTTTCCTCCATGCCCCCTTGGTCGTTGTGCAGAGATTGACAAGCGCAAAGCAATCAAAGAATTGCGCAACTTCTGCCCCGTCCGTGCTGCTGCCCCCAAGACAGAGAAGGGTTTTCATGCTGGCTTGACCGCGATGCTCCAGACTCCCGACTAGCAGGACGCGTACCCGAACCTTGTGAAGCTGTGGGTGGCTGTGGCTGTGTTGCTGCTGAGCAAAGGGGGTTTTCCCGTCAAGACGTGATCAAGAGCTGGAACCGGGGGGCTATCAAGGATGCTCGACTTTCGGACCTGATGGCAATGTCACTGCTGGACTACGAGCCCAACTGGGAGGAGGTGGTGGCGATCTGGCGCAGCTAAAAGAAGCGTCGGCCGTTCAGTGTGATTGCGCGGCCCAGGAAGCAGTCGGCAAGTGGGAAGGGTAAAGAGAAGGCCGCAGAAGACGAAGTCCAATCCCACCCTGACGAAGCAGACGAGGTTGGTGTGTTGGTAGGCGAAGAGTCGGAGGACCGCTGGGATGATGAGTGATTGCTGGTTTGGTGATCGAGACAACTGGATTGCCAGTCCTGAATGTGTCATTAAGCTAGTCAATGGTCATAGATTTGGAGTAGGTTAGGTCAGGATAGGTGCTACTGCAGCAGAGAGAAGCTGGAAACATATTTCGATCGGGTCTGGTGCATTTGTAGCTAGGATAGGATGCGTTAGGTTTCTAGTCTTCCACAATCCATTGATGGATCTGCATTCCGCACACCATGCTGCCCTTAACTGCCAAAGTAGCTAGTTCAGGATTGTGAACTGAAAAGCATGAATACCTGCGGCAACACTGATGTATCAGCAAACGGTTAGGTACTGATCCTGACAAATCAGCAAAGTTTCAGCTTGAGATGCTGACGGAAAGTTTTTTTTTGCATGATGATACTGAGCAATCAGGGCAGTCCGAAACCAATCTGAGGCCCTGCAGCAGCCTATAGATCAGGAACCAAGGTGCTTGTCACAAAGTGCTGCCACATGTGCAGAACGCGATGCAATGCGACCAGCAGTTGGTGTTGAATCGAACTTGCAAAATGTGACATGATTGGTTGCAGTTGGTGTTGAATTGAATTCGCCCGCTTTCCGGGCCCGGTTTGCTCTGGACATGCCGTGCATTACGGGTCGTCGCTTCCAGCATGTGCGACTCCACGCAACAACATTAGCAATCAAATTCCCTTGTACTGAACGGGCCTATACCAAATTCCAATCAGCAGACCATAATATCTGCAGCACCAGCATGAAGCAGCTTGCACAGAGCATCACACAAGATCACTCCACACCCCATAGTCTGTGCGAGGGTCTTTGGGATCATGCAGCCCATCCTGGCACGCCATGAGGTAGGCGGACCTAGAGGTGTCGATGTTCACCACGGCATGTGCACTCAAGGCTGGGCACGCCATCACCGCCACGTCATCCGCTGTCAAGATGACCTCAGCAAATCCCTTAGCCACGTCACGGTTCTCGTTCTGTGGTTAAATGTGCACAGGAAGCAAGGTAGCCAAGCGAATGGCGACGGGGCAGGAGGGCAGACAAAGTCAGCGGGGGGGAAGAGGATGGACACATGGATGGTGAGGACGTGGGCAGGGTGCATCAATGGCAGTCACTCTGCCTGTACAATAACCCGCCATCGTACCATCATACCTACATACAGCCCCCCCAAACCCAAAAGCCCGGTGGGTCTTTTGATCGGGGCGGGACTTATGGTACCGCCGTTTTTGTTTGAGACCTGCCTTTTTCGTCCGAATCCGGTTTGGCCGCGCCTTGAAAGCCCACGTTGGCAACAGGCAGTGGAGGCTCCTTGCAGGAACTCAGGCCGTGGAGGGACGGCCAGGATGCCACCTTGCAAGGCAGGCAGCAATCTAGGCGCGGTGCAAGATGCCACGCCTCACTTTCATCTCCACTGGATGTTATAACACAAGTAGAACACCCAGAGAACACCTTTTCAATACCAAAGAACATCATCAGACCCTGGGTCTCATTAACTTCCAAACCACTCATCAGACACAAGCTGCAGAATTAGCAGGACTGGAAGCAGTAAGATAATTGAAAAAGCCTACACCACCAACATTAGCTTATATATAGAAACCATAACACAACAAAACCCCCAATTTTAACGGGGTAGGATAAGACCCTAGGGATTTCACGATTTGCATACAACCGCTCATGCGTAAGACCAGTGTGCATGCTTCACATTTCCATCAAGGGCTCTCGCCATGACAGTCTGGCGCATTGCTGGCCCATGCCCCATCCATCACCCACGACATCCCCTTGCCACACCGAGCCTGACCCTCTTCATTCTCCCACACATCGATCACCCTCACGACAACTCACCCTCACATTGACTCACCCTCACGACAACTCACCCTCACATCGACTCACCCTAACGACAACTCACCTTCACATCGACTCACTCTCACGACAACTCACCCTCACATCGACTCACCCTCACGACAACTCACCCTCACATCGACTCACTCTCACAACAACTCACCCTCACATCGACTCACTCTCATGACAACTCACACTCACATAAACTCACCCACACTCTCTCCACTCACCCACACTCTCTCCACTCACCCGCACTCCCTCCCCTCACCCACACCCTCTCCACTCACCCGCACTCCCTCCCCTCACCCACACCCTCCACTCACCCGCACTCCCTCCCCTCACCCACACCCTCTCCACTCACCCGCACTCCCTCCCCTCACCCACACCCTCTCCACTCACCCGCACTTTCATTCTCGCGCCCCACAACACCAAGGTCTCGTTGTAGTCGTGGTGCCGGTGATTTCCCCGAACCTTCTCAGGTAGCACCTCCCCACATGCGTCATGAGGCATGAGGTGGCACCTCCTGGGAGAGAGGAGTGGGGGAGAGCCAGGGACAGTCCAATTACGAGGTGACTTTTGAATCGTAGAGGAGTGGGGGAGAGCCAGGGACAGGGGAATTTGAGGGGTGGGGAAAAGAGGGAGAGAGCCTTGGCGCAGTGAGGATGGAAAGAGGCGAGGCGGGAAGGAAAACGGATTTGAGGAGCGGGTGACGCGTGGGAGAGGCGTGGGGAGACAGATGCAAGTCGAGCACATGGCAGAGTGGCGGATTGAAAGCATTCGCGGCTGTTCCATGTTTCAGCTACTCCCGCCAATTCCCCCTGGAGTTCACCTTGCACCCCTGCATCCACCTTTCAACCCTGCATTCACGTTTCACCCCTGCATTCTTCTTTCACCCCTGCATCCACCTTTCACCCCTGCATCCACCTTTCACCCCTGCATCCGCCTTTCACCCCTGCATTCACCTTTCACATCCACCCTCACAGCCCTCCCTTGCACATCCACCCTCACAGCCCTCCCATGCACATCCACCCTCACACCCTCTCTCTCGACTTGCCCTTCCCGCCTCACCTTTCAGCCCTGCACTGGCTGCCGCAGCAACCGGGTCAATCATCCATCCGCGCTCGTCCTGCCTTGGCTCTCCGCCTTTTCGCTCGCCCCCGCCCCTTCCCCCCACATCCAGCCTCACCACCCGCGCCGCCCCATCGAACCGCATCGTGCCGCCCGCCTCCTCATCCCTGCGAGACACCGACGGCGGCGGCAGGCTGTTGGAGGCGAGCAGCAGGGCGGGCGGAGGGTGCGCGTGGGAGAGGGCGAGGTAGGCGAGGAGCGCGGCGAGGAGGAGCAGGAGCGCGAAGGGGGCCACGAGGCGGGTGACCACCTCGCAGCTCCTCTGCTGCTGCTGCGGGTGCGGCGCCTGGGACGCCTGGCGGTGGTGCGCGGGCTTGTGGGCGCCCGATGCCATCATCAGCGCATGGGCCGCGCGGCTGAGGAGAATTCAACGCACTGGATGGAGGAAAGAGGAGGAAAAGGGGGAGGGTAAGTGCAATGAGTTGTGGGACATGAGGTGCGTGAGCAGCCTGGAGTTGCACTCTAGCCACTCTTCTGAACCAACTGCATAACAGCATCGCAGTCGCGCTGGGTTGGTTAGCATTTAACACATATTGCTACCCGGATACCTCACAAACAGCTATGCCCCGCTGCATGCTCCGCACTTGCATTCTCAGCCCTTGCATTCTCAGCCCTTGCATTTGTCACCAAAGCCGCCACTTGCAACTTGGCTCCCTTCACTCCCAGCGTGCTCCCTCCTCCACAGCTAGTTCAATCCCCGGACCACGTCTTCCAACATTCCTCTCATCTGCTTTCTGCACCCACGTCTTCTTCTTCACACCCTAAACCCTACACCACCTTCTTTTATTCTCCCGCGCCTTGACTCACTCTCCTCTCACTGCCATCCACCCAATACATCCACAGCACGCACGCCCTGCATATGCGCACGCCCTGCATATGCGCACGCCCTGCATACCAAGGTGCAAAAATACGGTCGTTTTTTTTATTTTTTTTGCCGTATTATACGGAATCGTATGATACGGTCGTATAAAACGGTTTAAAACGGTCAAAAGCTGTGTTTTTTGGTTGGTGCAAAAATACGGTCGAAAAATACGACCGTATTTTTCGAACCAACCAGTATTTGCATGCTTAGGGCTTGTAACGAAATCGCAATGTGGGTTGGTTGGATCTTGAATGTTTGTCAGGTTGAAGTGATGGTTTTTCGCCGAGGCGCGATTCCAACATTTTGTCGAGCCGCCTGATGCCAACATTTGACGAAGAGAGAACGGGCTGTACACCCGTTTCGCCTGTGTCGTTGGGTTGCTTCCCGCCCTGTAGACTCAATTTTCGCGGGCCAAGCGACCTCCCCAAAAATTCGCGTGTCGCAAATTCGAATCGTGACCAATCACACTTGGTCATTTGCGATCCCTACCAACAAGGTCTTTCCACGTCGCTCAAGAATGCAGGTTGGCCACCAGGTACAAACTTGGAGCACTTCCAGAAAGGTGAGCACAGTCTTGTGCGCAGCTCACCTCGCACGATCGAATCCACCGCACGATTTTCTCAGCTACTGGCGTTACTGTGTACGCCATGCCTAGGAAGCTATCCGACATTTGGGAGCATGTTAAGAAGGTGAAGGAGCCGACCGGCCTTGTTATTAGCACAGTTTGCATTCATTGTGGCTCTAGTGTCACTCCAAACGCGACCAGGATAGGGCAGCATATCTATGGCACCCCTAGCTCGATGGAGAAGAATGTCTCCACTTGCCCGTCGGACTACGCGAAGCAGCTGCGTGAGAGCAACCAAGAAGAACGTTCCACGTCCCCTGACGGCACGCAAGGACGAGCTTCGTCCTCGACGGTGCACTCTGCCCCGCGCTCGCGTCAGCAAGACATTCGCGAGCTAGCTGATGTGGCTGGCCGCCAGCGGTTGGATTATCTTTGGGCGACAGTGGTCGCTGAAAACGACCTCGCGTTTCGGACATCACAGTCGCCGGCCTTGCAGGCCTTCGTCAACGCGGCAGTCCAGTTTGGGAAGCCGTACAAGCTTCCATCCGCGTACAAGGTCAGCGGGCCGCTGCTCGCGAAACTCAAGACCGACACGGAGGAGTTGCTGCAGCCGCTGAAGGACACGTGGAGGACCAGTGGCGTTTCTCTTACCGTCGACGGCTGGTCCTGCCTTAAGAGTCGCGGATTCGTGGGCGTAATCGCTCAGAACGATACGGCACCCGTAGTCGTCGACGTTGTCGACTCCAAAACCGCGAAAAAGACGGGGAGCTACCTCGCGGAGCTTATTCGACGGTCGATCTGCAACGTGGGGGACCGGCTCGTCATCCAGGTGGTCATGGATAACGCCTCCAACAACAAGAAGGCGGGGGCGTTGTTGAAGGAGGGGTACCCGCAAATCTTCTACACCAACTGCGCCGCCCATTGCCTCGACTTAATGCTGCACGACATAGGAGCAATCTTCGCCGTGCACCGCATCCTCGGGCAAGTGCACAGGGTGGTGATGATGGTGAAGAAGTCAGCCTCCGCGGTCACTTTGTTCCGCGAGGTCTTCAGCTCCTTGGAGCTTATGCGCCCGGGAGCTACACGTTTCGGGACGCAAGTGCTGATGATCGGGCGCTTCCTCGAAGTGAAGAAGGCCCTGCGGGAGATGGTGATCAGCGATGCATGGGAGGAGGTGCTAGTTTCCCGCACGGAGGAGGGGAAAGCAATTCGCAGCCTCCTCCTCGAGGACGTTTTCTGGGAAAGCGTCGCTGTGGTGCTCAAGCTCATGACACCCATCTACGAGGTCCTGAGGCGGGTCGACAAGCGATGTCTCCTCATGGGCCAGATCTATGGCCTCATGCTGGAGGCCACTGTCAAGACCACCGACGCGGCAGAGGCGGCAGGTAAGCCAACCTCTTGCTTGCCCATTTCCCCCCGCGGCGTGCGAGCGGCACTCATGTGTCATTCCCATGGGCGTTCTTAGCTGTACCTAATCTCACCCTCCCTCGGCACGTCTGCTCCCCGTGCAGCCGCCTTCTTTGTCAAGCGGACGGCGTTGCTCGAGGCGAAGGACAAGGCGAGTTTCCTTGTCACGGTGAAGAAGATCATCGCCAACCGCTGGGATGGTCAACTGCACAACCCGCTCCACGCTGCGGGGTGGCTCCTGAATCCCCGCAACCAGTACGTGGGGGAGGTGCGGAACGACCCTGAGGTGAGGCAGGGGGCAGAGGAGGTGTTTTTGGCGAGGGGAGGGGATGTACCTCGGCGCACCATGCTCGCGGCTCAGCTGGCAACCTTCCACAAGGGGGAGGGCCGCCTGGGATCCGTGGAGGCCCGTTGGGCAGCGACGGCTCTGGTGGAGAGTGGGCGGCTCTCCGACGCCGAGTGGTGGTGGATGTACGGCGGCGAGGTGGCCGCCTTGCAGGAGCTGGCTGTGATGATCTTGTCACAGCCAGTCACATCCTGCGAGGTTGAGCGCTACTGGTCGGCTCTGGCTCGTGTCCAAACGCGCGACCGCAACAGGCTGAACGCCTCCACCATGACGGACGTGACGTTCGTCGCGTTCGGCAGGCGGGCGCGAACAGCCTTTGACCAGAAGGTCGAGGCTCGAGCTCAGCTGTACGACGACCTCACCAATGGCACTCTGAAGGAGGGTGCCAACATCACCCCACCCCCCGTGTGGAAGGCGAGGCCAACAAGGAGGTAGAGGAGGAGGGCGGGGAGGTGTGTACCATCGACTGGGATGCCTTTGGCAACATCGGCGGGCGGAAGAAGGCGGCATCCAAGGCTCGGGGCAAGAAGCGGGCCAAGAAGGGTAGGGGGTCCCGTAAGGGGAAGGAGAAAGTGGCCTACGATGAGGAGGAGGAGGAGGAGGAGGAGGAGGAGGAGGAGGATGAAGAAGAGGAGGAGGATGAGGAGGTCGAGGAGGAGGGCGAGGGCGAGGAGGAGGGCGAGGGCAGTGGATCAAAGGAGCCTCGCAAGAGGGCCAAGGGGAGCAACCCCTGGGATTGCAGCGATGGTGACAGTGGGGCGGATGAGGAGGAGGACGAGGAGTAGTAGTGTGAGGAGGAGGTCGCGCCACAAGGAGGAGTAGGGGCCGGGGGAGTGGTACGCCGAGGAGGAGGGGGAGGAGGAGTAGGAGGTAGATTAAACGTACCTCTAGTCATGGTAGTTGACCACCTTAGCGTCGTGTCGTCCACCTTAGGCAAGTTGTACCGCACGTCCGCAATTTTTGAGTTTTTTTTTTTGGTCGAAAATCCGTCTAATAAAAAAACGGCCGTATTTTTCAAAATACAACCGTATAAAACGAACCGAAAAAAACGACCGTATAATACGAAAACCGTATTTTTCCACCCTGCTGCATACACGCACTCCCTGCTTACGCGCACTCCCTGCATGCACCCCTTGCACACGTGCAATCCCACCCAACTCCCATCCCCTTCCCCCCCCCCTCCCCCTCCTCACCCTCCCCATCCCCCCACCATCCCCCCTCCTTTACCCCTTCCCTCTCCCCGTCTCCCTCCCATCCCCCCCATCAATTCCCTCCTCCCTCCCTCCCTCCCTCCCTCCCCTCCCTCCCACCCTCCCCCCCCTCCCCCCCTCCCCCCCCTCCCCCCCCTCCCCCCCTCCCCCCCTCTCCCCCCCCTCCCTCCCTCCCTCCCTCCCTCCCTCCCTCCCTCCCTCCCTCCCATCCCTCATGCCCCCCAACCCCCTCCCAATCCCCTCCCGCTCCCCTCCCGCTCCCCTCTCACCCTCCTCCCACCCCCGTCCTCCCACCCCCGTCCTCCCACCCCCGTCCTCCCACCCCCCTCCTTTCTCCCCCCTCCTCCCACCCCCGTCCTCCCACCCCCGTCCTCCCACCCCCGTCCTCCCACCCCCGTCCTCCCACCCCCTTCCTCCCACCCTCCTCCTCCCACCCTCCTCCTCCCAACCCCCGTCCTCCCACCCCCCTCCCGCCCCCCCTTCCCCCCCCCACCCCCCGCCCATCTCCTTCCCCGCCACCTCGTCTCATCCCACGCTGCTCACCCTTTGCGTCCGGCCCTCTCGCACCTCGCTAGGGCGCGCGCCCCCTTCCCGTGCGCCCTTCTCTGCTGGCATTCCCCAAGTTTTCCACCTCACCCGATCTTATCCCCTCCCACTCCCCATCCCCCCTCCCTTGCCCTCCCGTCGGCGTTTCCGACTCGCCTTCCCGCGCGCCCCCCGCGAAAGACTCTTGAGCTCTGCGCGGCGCGGTGGCGGAGCGAGCATCGCGTGCGCGAGAGAAGCTTGGGCGGCGGAGCGAGCGCGGGGAAGGCGAGGGGAAGAAGGAGGCACTCACCTGGCAGCGACGGCCGCCCGGAACTCGTATTCTCCAGCGGGTCCCTCCTCGCCCCAACGATGGCAGCGCGGCAGCACCCTACTAGCCTAGCGCCAGGCGCCGCCTCGCAGCATGCGGTGAAACACGGGGAGGCGTGGGCGAGCGGGCGATGAGAGGTAGGGAATCGCGGTGCTGGGGGGAGAGGCTGTGAGTGGCAGGAACAGAGGCTCCGTCCCGCTCCGTCCCTTACTTGGTCCTTGTTCGCTTCGCGGAATTTGGGCGAGGCTGGGAGAAATTGCTCTACGTTAGTAGGTGCTGCTGTAATCAACGATATCCTGTTTCAATCCGAACTTTGATTGGCGAATTTAGTAAACTTACTTTACAAAACCAGCACAGGAAGATTAAACAAATCCAAGGCCTCAAGTAGAGCGTGGCTGGATTGTACTAGTCAAGGGCCAATGTACAAACGTGTTTACCCTACGCCATGTAGAATTCAACTCTATGTAGATCGAGAGGCACAATGCCTTCCCATCCCATCTCACCAATGCGTGCTCAAAGGTGGGTAGTGTTGAGTGACCCGCTGGGGTTGCCCTTGAGATCCTCGGGGAAGGGCCACAGGTGCAGAGCCTGGGGGGCTATGGGCGCACTTACCCGCTATTCAATAAGCCCTTTTAACCCAGTGGTTAGTGACTGGGTTTCTGACATGGTATCAGAGCCAAAGGTCTTGGGTTCATCTCCCAGTGCCAGCGCTGCAGAGGCGCTCGTGTCTTCCACCTATCCCAGCGGGGGGGGGGGTGTTGAGTGACCCGCTGGGGTTGCCCTTGAGATCCTCGGGGAAGGGCCACAGGTGCAGAGCCTGGGGGGCTATGGGCGCACTTACCCGCTATTCAATAAGCCCTTTTAACCCAGTGGTTAGTGACTGGGTTTCTGACAGGTAGGTGCCTATGCACTAAGCTGTCAGCACACATGCCTGGGTTTCCCTCACAACTGCTGTGGCAGCGTGGTGGCCTCGCAGCCAGGTCAGCTCTGCAGGCGCTCCCACAGCGCCTCCCTGCACTGCCCAGGGATCCACTCCCTCCCTAAGCGAGAGGCGGTAGCATGGAGGCCTCGCAGCCGGGGCAGTTGTGCAGGCTCTCATGGATGAACACGTCGCAGTCGAAGCAGAAGTGCCGCCGGCACACCGGGCACTCCACGCGCACTCCCCCGCCCTCCGCCTCTGCCAGGGGATGAAGCAGCTATGAGAATGGATGCTGACAGCAAGGCCAGGGAGGCTGGAGGGCCGTGCGCTTGGCACGATGATGAGACGCTCATCAAGGCATGGCATAAGAGAACGGAGAGTAATTTTCCCTACGAGTCCAGCTACCCGCTTGCTCACCAAGGGTGGGCAGCGCAGTGGTGCAGCTGAAGCACGTGGGCGGCAGGTCGCTGTGCATGGGGGCAGGGGCTGGGGCCGCGGTCGGTCGCTTGGGGGCGGGGGGAAGAGGCACTTCGGAGAAGGGTGGGACGGGGAAGAGGTGATGGTAGGAGCGGGCAAGGTGGGGCGAGGAGACCAGTGTGAGCGCACAGACGGGGCACTCTGCTGGCAGCGCGCACACGCGGGAGCTGAGGGGGGGAGGCGGAGGGAGGAGGAAGGAGGAAGGGCATAGTGATCGTGGGGCATGGACAGGCAGAGCAGAGGCGGGTCACACACAGGACACAGATGGGACACTCTGCTGGTAGGATGCACCCTCATGGGACCTGAGGCGATGGAGCGCGGGCACTATGAGGGGAGGCTGAGAGATGGAAGTGGATACAAGAGGAAGGAGGTTTAGAAGTGGAGGGGAGGGGAGGTGGGAGAAAGGGGAGAGGAAGGAGGAAGGAGGGGATGAGGAGAGTGTGTCTTGAAGGGCCAAACTCAAAATGAAAGCGAGAAGGCTGAATCGGGGTAGGGAGGGCAAGTATCTGGTGTAGTGGCAGGGCCAGCGCCTGGGGCACACATACTGGCACCTGGGGCACACATACCGGCACCTGGGGCACACGTACCGGAACCTGGGGCACACATACCGGCACCTGGGGCACACATACCGGCACCTGGGGCACACATACCGACACCTGGGACACACCTACCGTCACCTGGGGCACACCTACCAGCACCTGGGGCACACATACTGGCACCTGGGGCACACGTACCGGCACCTGGGGCACACATACCGGCACCTGGGGCACACCTACCGGCACCTGGGACACACCTACCGGCACCTGGGGCACACATACCGGCACCTGGGGCACACATACCGGCACCTGGGGCACACATACCGGCACCTTGGGCACACCTACCGGCACCTGGGGAACACATACCGGCACCTGGGGCACACGTACCGGCACCTGGGGCACACATACTAGCACCTGGGGGGCACACGTACCGGTACCTGGGGCACACATACCGGCACCTGGGGCACACGTACCGGCACCTGGGGCACACGTACCGGCACCTGGGGAACACATACCGGCACCTGGGGCACACATACCGGCACCTGGGGCACACATACCGACACCTGGGACACACCTACCAGCACCTGGGGCACACCTACCAGCACCTGGGGCACACATACCGGCACCTGGGGCACACGTACCAGCACCTGGGGCACACATACCAGAACCTTGGGCACACATACCGGCACCTGGGACACACCTATCGGCACCTGGGGCACACATACCGGCACCTGGGACACACCTACCGGCACCTGGGGCACACATACTGGCACCTGGGGCACACCTACCGGCACCTGGGGCACACATACCGGCACCTGGGGCTCACGTACCGGCACCTGGGGTACACATACCGGCACCTGGGACACACCTACCGGCACCTGGGGCACAACTACCGGCACCTGGGGCACACATACCGGCACCTAGGGCACACGTACCGGCACCTGGGGCACACATACCAGCACCTGGGGGGCACACGTACCGGTACCTGGGGCACACATACCGGCACCTGGGGCACACGTACCGGCACCTGGGGCACATGTACCGGCACCTGGGGCACACCTACCGGCACCTGGGGCACGCATACCGGCACCTGGGGCACACGTACCGGCACCTGGGGCACACGTACCGGCACCTGGGGCACACGTAGGTGGCACCCAGCTTGAGCTGCATGTGGCACGCACACAGCACAGGCGCCCCCTCGGGTGCGCGCTGGGGGAAGCCCATGCGCACCAGACTCGCCAGGCTGGCCGCGCTATCGGGCCGCACTGGGGGTGGCGGGGCATGGCTAAGCAGCAGCTCCCTCAGATGGCCCTGTGGGGGGGGGGGCGAGGGGGGGGAGGAGCAGGGAGGGAGGAGCAAGGACTGTGGGTCAGCAGCAGCGGCCTCAGGTGGCCCTGAGGGGGGATAGGGTTGGGGATACATGAGGGAGGGAGGGAAGGGTATTGGATTGCCTGGCTGTGGCCTTGCCAGGCGGACAAGAAATAAGGCGAGCTACGAAGTATGTGCTGGCCATGACCCCCTCTCCCAGTACCTATCAATGCAACCCTCACTGCCTCACCATGCTCACCCCATCCATCCTCACCCCATCCATGCTCATCCCAACATTGCAACCCCCCAATGCAGTCTGCTCACCTCGTCCACCCCCCTAGTGCCCGCTGTGCTCACCTCGTCCACCCCCCCAGTGCCCGCTGTGCTCACCTCGTCCAGGGCCACGCTGTACCGCCCGCCCGTCTGCTCGGCGATCTGGCGGCAGATGTGCACCTCGGCGCCGCCCACCCCGATGATGGAGCAGCGCAGGTGGCCGGCCTTGGCGCGGGCGATGGCGGGCAGGATGTCGGCGGGGTCAGTGGAGGAGAGCGCGGCGAACAGCAGCACCAGCTCCTTGTGGCCGTAGGCGGGCACGTGGGCCACCGCATCCACTGCTGCATCCAGGGCGTTCTGGGGAAGGAGGAGACGGAGAGTTGTGGGGCAGTGGTGTGGCACAGGGGAGAGGCATGCGGGCACGTGAGCATGTGAGTTTGAGAGCATGCGAGCAATGGTCATGTCGGCATGCTGTGCTGCCTTGGTGAGGACAAAGCACGCAACCATTGGATGGCATGACAGGAGGGCGAGCATCTGCAGGGAGCGAGAGCACCTGCAGGGAGGGCGAGCACCTGCAGGGAGGGTGAGCACCTGCAGGGAGGGCTAGAACCTGCAGGGAGGGCGAGCACCTGCAGGGAGGGCGAGCACCTGCAGGGAGGGCGAGCACCTGCAGGGAGGGCGAGCACCTGCAGGGAGGGCTAGAACCTGCAGGGAGGGCGAGCACCTGCAGGGAGGGCGAGCACCTGCAGGGAGGGCGAGCACCTGCAGGGAGGGCGAGCACCTGCAGGGAGGGCGAGCACCTGCAGGGAGGGCTAGCACCTGCAGGGAGGGCGAGCACCTGCAGGGAGGGCGAGCACCTACAGGGAGGGCGAGCACCTGCAGGGAGGGCGAGCACCTGCAGGGAGGGCGAGCACCTGCAGGGAGGGCGAGCACCTGCAGGGAGGGCTAGCACCTGCAGGGAGGGCGCGCACCTGCAGGGAGGGCGAGCACCTGCAGGGAGGGCTAGCACCTGCAGGGAGGGCGAGCACCTGCAGGGAGGGCGAGCACCTGCAGGGAGGGCGAGCACCTGCAGGGAGGGCGAGCACCTGCAGGGAGGGCTAGCACCTGCAGGGAGGGCTAGCACCTGCAGGGAGGGCTAGCACCTGCAGGGAGGGCGCGCACCTGCAGGGAGGGCGAGCACCTGCAGGGAGGGCGCGCTCCTGCAGGGAGGGCTAGCACCTGCAGGGAGGGCGCGCACCTGCAGGGAGGGCGAGCACCTGCAGGGAGGGCGCGCACCTGCAGGGAGGGCTAGCACCTGCAGGGAGGGCGCGCACCTGCAGGGAGGGCGAGCACCTGCAGGGAGGGCGAGCACCTGCAGGGAGGGCTAGCACCTGCAGGGAGGGCGAGCACCTGCAGGGAGGGCGAGCACCTGCAGGGAGGGCTAGCACCTGCAGGGAGGGCGCGCACCTGCAGGGAGGGCGAGCACCTGCAGGGAGGGCGCGCACCTGCAGGGAGGGCTAGCACCTGCAGGGAGGGCGCGCACCTGCAGGGAGGGCGAGCACCTGCAGGGAGGGCGCGCACCTGCAGGGAGGGCGCGCATCTGCAGGGAGGGCACGCACCTGCAGGGAGGGCGTGCACCTGCAGGGAGGGCGAGCACCTGCAGGGAGGGCTAGCACCTGCAGGGAGGGCGAGCACCTGCAGGGAGGGCGAGCACCTGCAGGGAGGGCTAGCACCTGCAGGGAGGGCGCGCACCTGCAGGGAGGGCGAGCACCTGCAGGGAGGGCGCGCACCTGCAGGGAGGGCTAGCACCTGCAGGGAGGGCGCGCACCTGCAGGGAGGGCGAGCACCTGCAGGGAGGGCGCGCACCTGCAGGGAGGGCGCGCATCTGCAGGGAGGGCACGCACCTGCAGGGAGGGCGTGCACCTGCAGGGAGGGCGAGCACCTGCAGGGAGGGCGAGCACCTGCAGGGAGGGCGAGCACCTGCAGGGAGGGCGCGCACCTGCAGGGAGGGCAAGCACCTGCAGGGAGGCAGGCCCCGAGGCAGTGAGGTTGGACTGGAGCGCCTTGATGTGCGAGTCGGGCGGCGAGGTGAGGTCCGACACCTGCAGAGCCACGCCGTCCCTCAGCAGCAGCAGCGCAAGGTGGCTGAGCGGGTTGCTGTCGAAGAAGTCGAGGATGAACGCCTCCGCGCTGCGCGCCATGGCTGCCATGCGCGACGGCTTCATGTCCAACTCACTCGCTGCCTGCCTGCCACGCAGGGAGGTGACATGCCATGCCATGCCATGCCATGTGCGGCGACAAGCCATGCCACAGCAGGCGATGGGATGGCATCATGACACGCACCATATGATAGACACATGCCATATGATAGACACATGCCATGAGGTACACGAGATGCCACAGCAGGAGATGCGACGGCATAATGATATCCAATCGCGGTTCTTCATCTGATGGCTCTGCTGCTACAAACACGCCAACCCTTGGAGGAGAAAACAGTGAATCCAGTTTCCGTTGGCCAGCGCCACTCGCCTCTTCTGATTCCACCCACATGTGACATGCCCACCGCCCCTCCAGAATGAAGCAGGTGCCCGCGAAAGGAGTGACCTCATCTCTGGGCAGCACCACTCCACTCCACACTCCCCACCCACCACCCACCCGCGAGAGGTCGAGGGCGAGCACGAGGTAGCGGATGATGCCGCGCCGCACCCGCTCCGCCCCCACGCGCCCCGCCTGCCCCGCCTGCTGCCGCCGCCGCCTCTCTCTCTCGCCGCGCTGCTGCCCCGCCACGTCCACTGCGCGCAGCCGCCCACTCTCGTCCTCCTGAGAGGGAAGCGGTGGGGGGGCGGGGGGGGGGAAGGGATCATGGCAGGCGCGGGCTTGGGGAAGGAGAGGAGGGGCGGGCAAGAGAAGGAAGGATGAAAGCAAGGGAGTGGGGGCAGCGAAGGCGAGCCCAGCAGTCGTTGAGAGCAGCAGAGTGCAGCAGGCAGAAGCGATTGGTGAGGGGTGAGCAAGTGCAAGGGGAGTGATGACTAATCACCTGCACTGCCTCCCACGACCCGCTCTCACCTGCACTGCCTCCCACGACCGGTCGTTGGCATAAGACCGCTCCCACGCCTCCTGCTCTCTCATGGCGTCCTCCGCCGCCACCTCCTCCTCCTCCTCCTCCACGTTGTACGCCACGTCCACCCGCCGCGCCTCCGACCGCTTCATGGCGCCGCCCGCTGCACAGAGGCGAGGATGCGCGTGCTGCACAGAGGCGAGGATGCGCGTGCTGCACAGAGGCCGCTACAACAGCCACAGAGGCACGCCACAGAGGTGCGACCCTCCCGTGCGTCACTCGAGTGTGGGCCCCCCCTTCACCACGTCAATGCCGGCAGGTCCATGCCGGCACTCGCCCTAGCCTCACTTTTGAGTCGACTCCAAAGCCACCTAGGTTTTGTGCGTCGCGATGTCGATCTGAGGCTGCGCTAGGAGCCACATCGATGCAGTACATCAGCGGCTGGGTTCATCCAGAAATTGGAGTTTTCGCCGGGTGGCGCTTGTTCGTCACCACAGTTCTCGCCCGGCACACGTTGCGAGTAATTGGGGAGGCGAGACTTCTTCGCCGAACCCGTCAGCTGCGTGGCACGTAGTGTGGATTCGCGGTTGGGGAAATCCATATTTCGCTGCCGAAGCTCTGCCTGGTTACACGGTTCGCTAAGCTTCACTTCGATCCGGCGTTGACTCGCAATTTTCTCTCTGCACAAGTTTCTTCGCCAGTTCCATACGTGAGTTGTGGGTAGCGCAAGCCGAGGGGCCCAGACCAATCCACGCATCAACCGCCTTGCTTTGTGTATCTCTCGCTCCACCCAATCCCCACCACCCAATCCCTACCAAAATGAGTGGGTAGTTTCCAGTCGTCACGTGTGAGACCTGTATGCTTTCCGCCACTGTACCGTCGACCTAAGCCTTCACGCTCTCCGTGTATCTTCCTCCACTCGCCATCTAAACTATCACACTCGCATCAGAAAAACTTGAAGACTAGGAATTTCAAGGGCAGACTGAAACACAGAAAGCCAAGTAGTCGTGACCTCCCAGAACATTGGAAGCGGCAGTCACGACCGGATGATGCCGTCCGCCGCAACGTTGGTGAGTCGCGCCCAGTCGCGCGTGACCTAGTCGAGGTGTCACTTGACCTTATCGGCGTGCGAGGTGGGCGCGGCTGCCTGAGCGGCGGCGGCAGAGCCCTTGAGCACCACCTTGACGGCGGGCACGGGCACCAGCAGCCACCAGCGCTGCAGCTTGTGGCCCACCGACGCCGTCTGCGGGCCGCCCTTCTGCTTCTGGAAGTTGAAGTAGGCGGAGAAGACATGCAGCACGACCACCGTGCCGATCACACGCGCCGGCACCAGCAGCGGCACCACAGCGCACGCCGCCGCCCCCACCAGCAGGAGCGAACACACCTTCCTGGACAGCTGGGGGGTGGGGGGGTGGGGGGTTGGGAGGAAGAGGAGTGGTGGGTGGAGAGGGGTGGGGAGGGGGGTGGGGAGGGGGGTGCATGGATGAGGCGTGGGGAACGGGTAAACCATGGGGAGAGAATTCATACATGCTCATATCAAACCCCAGGATCCCCTCCCACCCGTGGCTCCCCTGCCCCACCCGTGGCCCCCCTGCCCCACCTGCGGCTCGGCGGACTGGAAGATGCTTCTGACTTTGAGCAGCGCCACGTTGACGCGCTGGAAGACGGTGAGCGCGGCGGCGATGCCGTCCTTCACCATCAGCAGCGACGCCATGGCCGTGGGCGTCGGCTCCATCTCCACCACCAGCATGCGCATCGCCCCGCCGCCACCGCCCCGCCCCGCCGCCGCGGCTGAGAGTGATGCGGATGCTGGTGGCCGTGGTTGCAGTGGCGGCGACGACGACGACAGCGCCGGGCTGCCGGGGGTCCACTGAGCGCCGGGCGACTTGGGCGAGGAGGGGCGGGCGGGCGGCGAGGAGGAGAGGTTGGTGACGCGGTAGAAGATGATGACGGCGGCGAGGAGCAGCAGCAGGAGCGACGGGACGAGCCAGATGTACCCCCTGGCGAGGACACAGGGGTGGGGCGATGGGCCGGGGAAAGAGAAGGGGAAGCAATGTGGCAGGGCTGGGTGGAAAGCAGTAAGAACCGGAACTGCAAGGAGTGGCAAGAAAGTGTGCACACCATGGAAAGTGTGCTCACCATGGAAAGTGTGCTCACCATGGAAAGTGTGCCCACCATGGAAAGTGTGCCCACCATGGAAAGTGTGCTCACCATGGAAAGTGTGCTCACCATGGACAGTGTGCTCACCATGGAAACATTTATGTGTGCGCATGAAAAAAAAAAGGCACCATTGTATCGATTGCATAAGAGAAAGAGGGATATCGAAGAGAAGGGGAGAGTGCAAGAAAGGAGGGGAGTGGAAGAGAGATGGTGGTGCGCGGGGCACACCCGTTGACGAGGAAGAGCATGAGCATGGCGGCGAGGATGGTGAGCAGCGGCTCCCTCCACTGGATGATGTCCACCACGGCACGCACCGCCGTGTACGCCGGATGCAGCAGGTGCTGGGGGGGGGAGAGAAAGGGGGGAAGAGGCGTTGGTGGGGCGTGCAGCTGGGGGGAACGTGTTGGTGGTGGGGTGTGCAGAGCAATCCTGGCAACAAAGGTGAAGGATGAAAGCAAGAGGGACGTGTTAAAGATAGGGAGGGAGGGAGGGGGGGGGCAGAGGGAAGAGGGAGAGGGAGAGGGCGCGGAGTGGTACGAGGAGCAGCGTGACGTTGCTGGGGATGTCGTCGATGAGCGACCCCTCCACTGTCGCCTGCGCCCTGTCCGCTAGCTCCTCCCTCTCCCTGTGCCGCACATGCACACATGCGTGCACACAAGCACACGCACACACACATGCAATGAGAGGGGACACATAACTGTGAAGGGACACATAACTGTGATGGGACACATAACTGTGAGGGGACACATAACTGTGATGGGACACATAACTGTGATGGGACACATAACTGTGAGGGGACACATATCTGTGATGGGACACATAACTGTGAGGGGACACATAACTGTGATGGGACACATAACTGTGATGGGACACATAACTGTGAGGGGACACATAACTGTGATGGGACACATAACTGTGAGGGGACACATAACTGTGAGGGGACACATAACTGTGATGGGACACATAACTGTGATGGGACACATAACTGTGAGGGGACACATAACTGTGATGGGACACATAACTGTGAGGGGACACATAACTGTGATGGGACACATAACTGTGATGGGACACATAACTGTGATGGGACACATAACTGTGAGGGGACACATAACTGTGATGGGACACATAACTGTGATGGGACACATAACTGTGATGGGACACATAACTGTGAGGGGACACATAACTGTGAGGGGACACATAACTGTGATGGGACACATAACTGTGATGGGACACATAACTGTGATGGGACACATAACTGTGAGGGGACACATAACTGTGATGGGACACATAACTGTGATGGGACACATAACTGTGATGGGACACATAACTGTGAGGGGACACATAACTGTGATGGGACACATAACTGTGATGGGACACATAACTGTGAGGGGACACATAACTGTGAGGGGACACATAACTGTGATGGGACACATAACTGTGATGGGACACATAACTGTGATGGGACACATAACTGTGATGGGACACATAACTGTGAGGGGACACATAACTGTGATGGGACACATAACTGTGATGGGACACATAACTGTGATGGGACACATAACTGTGATGGGACACATAAGTGTGATGGGACACATAACTGTGATGGGACACATAACTGTGAGGGGACACATAACTGTGATGGGACACATAACTGTGATGGGACACATAACTGTGAGGGGACACATAACTGTGAGGGGACACATAACTGTGATGGGACACATAACTGTGATGGGACACATAACTGTGAGGGGACACATAACAGTGATGGGACACATAACTGTGATTTGACACGTAACTGTGATGGGACACATAACTGTGATGGGACACATAACTGTGAGGGGACACATAACTGTGATGGGACACATAACTGTGATGGGAAACGGACGTTCAAGTGGTGAGAACGGCAGCAAGGAGTCGCTTGAAAATTCTTGCCTCTCACCTCGTCTCTCACCTCGCCTCTCACCTCGCCTCTCACCTCGCTCCTCACCTCGCCACCCTGACAGCCTTCTCCAGCTTCCTGTGAATCCGACCGCCAAAGCCCCTCTCCTCCTCCTCCTCCTCCTCCTCCTCTTCCTCCTCCTCCTCCTCCCCTTCCTCCACCGATCCCTCACTAGCCATAGACCCTCCCCCCTCCTTCCCTTTCCAAAACGACACAGACGACTGAAGCTTCCAGGAAGCAGACCGCCCAAGAGGCCTGAGCCCACCAGGCATCCCGCTCCTCTCCTCCCCCCCTCCACTGCTCTCCCCCACCTCATCCTCCTCGCCCTTCCCCACGCCGCTCCCCCAACCTCCCTTGCTCCTGAGGAAGAGCTCTCTCGGCGACGCCACCCCTCTGCCCCTGCCGCCCGCCCCCTCGTCCTCGTCCTCCCCCCCCTGCAGCAGGTACGCCAGGCGCTTGGCGGACCACTTGCCCGTCTTGAGCGCCGGCAGGCGCTGCGGGCCCCACAGGCGCAGCGCTACGGCCTGCTCCACGAGGTGGCCCTCGGGCACCGTGCGCGCCCACGAGAAGGGCAGCAGGCGCACGGGGTCAGGGGGCGTGCTGCCGATCACCGTCTGCAGCGCCTGCAACGCAAGGGACGGGGGTGGGGGTGGGAGGGGAGTGGTGAGGGGACGAGGTGTGTATGTGGGGCGTTCAGCCACGTGGCCAGGAAAATGGCACAGGTGGAGGGACGTGCTGGCTTGACTGCATCAAAGGCCTGTAGGGGAGGCGCTGGGCGGAGATGGGAATTCAGTACAAGGATGAGGGTGATGGCGCCCGTACACACGTCTCGCTGGTCTGCTCGCGCAGCTGCGTTTATTGTGGAGCGCGGGTCGGCAGTGCAGGCAGCAGCGGCCAAGCAGCAGGCAGCAGCGGCCAAGCAGCAGGCAGGGCACACGATGGTGAAGAGATGGGGCTGTCCGCCGTGGCAGTCACGTCCCCAACTCACACACGCAGGGCCTAAAGCCTGCAACCCTACATCTGAATTCGCACTTAGGCCGTGGAACCTTGAGTTTCGGTCCCCGCCAAGTTCCGGTGTTTGGTGGGGCTACAAAACGCTGATCTGGTGTTTCGCGCCAGGCGTTTTCGTCGCCAAGTCCGGTCCAAGTTCCGTTCCTGGCAGAAGCACTGCCACGCCCTTATAGCTGCAGCACTGCCTTCACCACCGCACCTGCAGCTGCAGCACGGCGTTGACCATCGCCCACAGCGCCTGCTGGCACCCCTCCTCCACCAACAACCGCCCCAGCGACTGCTTCTCCGCCTCCCCCTCCCCTCCCCCACTCCCCTCCTGTTCCTCCTCCTCCTCCTTCTCCTCCTCCTCCTCCTCCTCATCATCATCACTGGCCGTTCCATCGCTCAGGTCATCCTCAAACTCCCCCTCCTCCTCCTCCCCCTCCTCCGTGCCAGCTGGCAGCACGTGAGTGGGTGCGGGCCTGTAGTCCGCAAGGAAGGCGTGCAGCGCGAGCACCTCCCCCAGCAGCGCGTGCCACAGGTCGCGCTGGCGCTGCAGCTTGTACTCGATGAACTCCAGCGTCCACGTGGGCTGCCTGGTACACGAGGAACGAGGGGAGAACAGGGGGAGCATGGGGAGAGGAGGAGTGCTGGTGTGGGGGGTTGAGCAGGGAGTAGAAGTGGCTCTGCCGCTGCAGCTTGCGCTGCATGAACTGCAGGGCCCACGTGGCCTGCTTGGTGGGTACCAAGTTGTGGAGGACGGGGGGAGAGGGTGGGCGGGACGAGTGAACAAGGGGAAGCTAGGTCCCTCTGCTGCCGCAGCCTGTACTCTATCAACTCCGGCGTCCACGCAGCCTGTACTCTATCAACTCCGGCGTCCACGCAGCCTGTACTCTATCAACTCCGGCGTCCACGCGCGCTGCCTGGTAACGAGGGGGAACGGAAAAAGGTGGGGCGGAGGAGACGGGGGTGGGGGGAGTAGGAGGTGCGGGGTTGGTGGAGGGGGGAGGGGCACCTCCCCTTTATTTTCCAGAAAGGGTATTCTACGGAGAGAGAGCAGGATGGCACGAGAGAGGTGCAGATGAGAAGGTGGATGAGAAGGATGGCGGGAGGAGAGGGCGAGGGAGCGCACAGGCGGGAGGAGAGGGCGAGGGAGCGCGTCATGGAGAAGACGTTGAGCGATAGCGCGTCCGGCGCCACCGCCGCCACCTTGTGGCCCGCCCCCAGCGCTGCGAGGTCGAAGCGCTCCACCTTGCCCGCCACCGTGCGCAGGAAGCCAGTGGCGTCCGCCTGGGGGGGGTGGGGATCGGGTGTGGACGTTGCGAGAGAAGGGATGTAAGGAGGGAGTGTGCAAGGAGGCGGGAAGGACAGCGGATCAGAGCATATCACCTGCAGCAAAAACTTTTGAGAATTCTCAAAAGTCTCTCGCAAGGACTTCAACTCCCTCGCTTCGTTATCGGTTGGAGTTCAATCGTTTTCTCAATTGTTTTCTTGGCTCAATTTGGGCGGGTTGGCTGGTTTTACAACTGGCAGACCGCACTCACCCTTTGTGGTGCGCTGCATGGGTAGTTTCAAAGGTACCCAGCTAGATGAATAGCTGGCGAACTGCTTTTTGGGTTAGGACCTGGGGATTTTCGGGGTTAAAGTGTAGAACGCGGAAACTAGAGGGGAGAGAAGGCGATTCTCTGTCATTCGTGTATGCCTCGGAATGGCCAGTGGACTATTTGCCCAGATTCTTGCCCGCTAGCGATTCTTGCCCACCAGCCATTCTTGCCCACCAGCGATTCTTGCCCACCAGCGATTCTTGCCCACCAGCGATTCTTGCCCACCAGCGATTCTTGCCCACCAGTGATTCTTGCCTACCAGCGATTCTTGCCCACCAGCGATTCTTGCCCGTTCTTTCCAAATTCTACCCACCCCTAGCACCCTAACACTCCACGCAACATCCGATTGGCCTGTTGCGGTCAAAACTCATCTTCTCTGCAGGAGGCGGGAAGGACAGCGGATGAGAGCATAGCACCTGCAGCAAAGACCCGAGCGAGTGGCGAGAAGGATGCGCAGGTGGCAGCAGGGTGCACCTGGAAGCAGAGGGCGCACCTGGAAGCAGAGGGCGCACCTGGAAGCAGAGGGCGCACCTGGAAGTAGAGGGCGCACCTGGAAGTAGAGGGCGAGGGGAGTGAGGTAGAGGCGGCCGTGGCCCACAAGGGTCTTGGGGGCCCCGGGCGCGTCGAGGTAGAGCGTGGCGTCGCTGTCCGCCACCACCACCTCCCTCTCCTGCAGCCCCAGCGCTGCCGCCACCATGCCCGTGCGCTTGCCCATCGCCTCGTGCTCGCTGTGCGGCACGAGGGGCACGGATAGCATGTGATATGGCATGGCATAGGGGAATGGCATGGGGCGTGGAATGGGATATGGCATGGGGCGTGGAATGGGATATGGCATGGGGCGTGGAATGGGATATGGCATGGGGTGTGGAAAGGGATATGGCATGGGGCGTGGAATGGGATATGGCATGGGGCATGGAATGGGATATGGCATGGGGCGTGGAATGGGATATGGCATGGGGCGTATGGCATGGGGCGTGGAATGGGATATGGCATGGGGCGTGGAATGGGAACAACACACTCACTATTACTATTGCCGAGTGGCACACCAGCTGCAGCTCTTGCCCCATGCCCCATGTCAAATGCCCCATGTCACATGTCAAATGCCCCGTGTCATATGAACCATGCCCTATGTCAAATGCCCCATACACCATGTCAGATGCCCCATGCCCCATGTCAGATGCCCCATGCCCCAAGTCAAATGCCCCATGCCACATGCCCCATGTCCCATGTCACATGCCCCGTGCTGCATGCCCCATGACCCATGCTCCCATGCCCCATGCCTCATGCCCCATGCCCCATCCCACATCCCCCATCCCACATGCCCCATCCCACATGCCCCATCCCACATCCCCCATCCCACATGCCCCATCCCATGCCCCATCCCATGCCCCCTCCAGCATCCCCACGCACTCTGCCACAGCCGCCACGAATTGATGCAGGCGGTCAGCGGACAGCCCCGAGGGCGGCGGCTGGGCGGAGGGTGAGTTGGCGGCGCGCGTGAAGGCGAGCAGGTGGTGCAGGCAGGGCGCCGTCACGGGCGACGCCAGCTCCGGCAGCAGCGGGGCGATGCGTGCAAAGCCCAGCGCCATGGCCGTCTGCTCCGGCACGCGCTCCTCGTCCTCCGCGCCGTCCGACGCCGCTGCTGGGCGCTGCTGGTGGCGGGACGACACACAGCGCATCATGATGGTGGCGGGGCGACACACAGCGCATCATGATGGTGGCGGGGCGACACACAGCGCATCATGATGGTGGCGGGGCGACACACAGCGCATCATGATGGTGGCGAGGCGACACACAGCGCATCATGATGGTGGCGGGGCGACACACAGCGCATCATGATGGTGGCGGGGCGACGCACAGCGCATCATGATGGTGGCGGGGCGACACACAGCTCATCATGATGGTGGCGGGGCGACACACGGCGCATCATGGGCGAAGAAGAGCATGGCAGGCACACATGGGTGGGCCGGTGCAGGCCGCGAGTTGGACAGGCAGTTTTCCATGGCATGGGGGCATGGCACGGGGCATGATGGGTGGGAGGCTTCAGACGCGGGTTGGACAGCAGCAGTGTTCCGTGAATTAATTGGGGCCAAATTGCACAGCACACGTCCCATGCGCGCTGCGCCCACCCGTCACCAGTTCGCCCCACCATAGTTGGCCCCATCGGTCCCCATCCCACCGCCACCACACCACCCCCCCAGCGGCACCTGCTCGTGCCCCACGGAGGGCGGTCTGGGCGGCGCCCCCCTGCTGCCCCCCACCGCCCGTAGGGACGCCTGGCGCCGCCCCCTCTGCTGCTGCTGCAGGGAGCGCAGGTGAATGCGGTGCAGCGTGGCGAAGGTAGTTATGGCGCGGTACAGCAGCTGGTGCAGGGGCACCGCCTGGAGGGGGCGGAGGGGAGGGAAGGGGAGGGAAGTGGTGGAGGCAAGTAAGCGAGGGCCTGTGGAAGGGCGTGCATGCGGGACTGCAATGTGTGCAAGTGGGGGGGCAGAGGGTAATGGAGACAGCAGGGGATAACAAGAGGGCGGGGAATATTGAACGCAAGGCTGCGGAAGGGGGGATGGAAGAGGGGAGGCGCGTGGCACCTTGGAGGCGGCGAGGGCGGAGCGCAGGGGGCAGGCGCGCAGGGCTTGGTGCAGGGCGAAGAGCAGCAGCTGTGAGGCGTACAGCGCGCTGTCCGCCCCCCCGACCACGCGCGCGTGCCGCCGCTCAAACGCGCGCTTGAGGGACGCGGGCTTCCTGCCCAGCATGCTGAGGGGCGTGGATGGGCGGCACGTGAGTGGGTGGCATATGGGCGGCACAGGGGGTGGCACATGAGGAGCGCACAGGCATAAACGTGGCGTCATCTCAAACTGAGGCGCGGGTGCACGGGCGATGGCGCGCAGCATGGCAACGACCTCCCCATGCCACGCAACCAACGTGGCTGTGGGCGCCAGCACCATCCTTCCCTCCCACTCACAGCACGGCAGCCCATCCCCTTCCCCTCCCCGCGTCCTCCGTTCCCCCTTCTCCCTCCGCATCCCCCCTCCCCCCTCCGCTCTTCCCCTTTCTCCTTCCCATTTCAACCTGTCCCCTCCACCAGGCGCACTCCCGCCAGGCGCACTCCCGCCAGGCGCACTCCGCCTTCGCGCCTCGCTCTGGCGAGCTCGCGCTGGGCGCCACTCCTCACTCGGCGCCCGCTCTCACGAGCGTCCATTCGCGCTTGCGAGTGCTCACGTTTTGCGACAAAGCTTGCGTCGCACATACAACTGTTCTATTCCCTTCGCATATGCGACCGTTTCACTTTCACTCTCGTCGCATCCGACTGTCTCAATGTTACTCGTGCGTGTGACCGTTGCAATTCCAATCACGTCGCACTTACGACCTTTCCCATTTTACTAACGTCGCGCTTGCAATTCTACAGTTTTTGTCGCATGGTGCATGCGACCGTTGCAGTGTCACTCACGTCGCACACGCCTGCACGATGGCGCGCAGCTCCTCCAGAGCCGCCGAGGCCTCCCTCTCCCTCATCGCCTCGCGCTCCCCGCCGCTGCCGCTGCCGCTGCCGCTCGCGCTCAAGCTGCCGCCATGGCCGCCTTGCACGCCCGCCATGGCCGCACGTGAAACGTCGAGGCAACAACGCCGTCAGTGGTCCGCGTTACTCTTCTTGGTTTCGAACGTCGCTACTCGTAGCTAAAGGCGGAAGCCCGTCACTACCAAGCTGCACTCAATTGGGTGGGACTGGCAACTAAAGAAGCAAGCTTGCCACATTAGGCGGCAATAGTGTGGAGTGGGAACCTGGGGTGCCTCTCTTCTTCTAACGGAGCTTTGCAGCGCGCGAACCCACGACCGTAGCGTTTCGTGTTATGCTATGGTGTAGAGAACACTAAAACTGAAATGAACAAATATTTGTCCTTATTCCAAGTCTTGAACTTTGTGTTCACGAGTAGCTTTATTGCATCCATCCGAGTCCTATTAAAAGCGCCATATAGTGCATTTCCAATGGGTGGTACGATATTTGAAAGCCTCATAGCTGCCCCCCCAAAGCCCGCTGCCCTTGCTGCTGACGTGACGTCCGAGCAGCGGACTGAGTTCAAGACTAGCCTAGCCGCCTTCTCTGTCTGGAAATCCCGCAACGCAGCTGCGCAGCTGGCAGTTACTAGGGTCCTCCCTCCTGACGAGCAGACTCGCTTTGATACGCTCAAGACTGCTATGAATATATGGGATGTCGTTGTCGCTGACTCTACCCAGTCATCGGCCACCATAGGTCCCACCGTTTCTGTTCCCAGGCCTAGCCTCCTTCTCCACTGTCGCAGACCTAGCAGTGCACCTGCAGTCCCTCGTGACTTGCTGGCATGCAGCTTGCCCTAAGAAGCACCACACCACTCACTTCCCACCTACCTACCTCATCCTGTACCTCCTTGTCACCCGCCTCCCTGACCATCTCGCCCCTGTGCGAGACACGCTTCTCACTGTGTCCCCCACCTCCCTCACTATCGCTGAGTTCTCCTCCGCCCTAACGACGGTTGAGTCGTGCCTCCGTGCCCTCGCTGACACCACTGGCACAGTGGTCGTCCCCGTCTTTCAGGGCTACTCTGCCCCCCAGCTCCCTGTCTCTGGAGCCTCTGCCTCTATTGCGGCGGCCACTGAGACTGCTGGGCAGCCTCCTCGGGCCAGAGGGGCAAGGGAGTGCGCAGCAGCAGGCGGTGGGGGTGTGGGTGCGGACGGAGAGAGTGGACAGTCGGAGTCGGGGAGTGCGCAGCAGCAGCAGCCATAGCTGCCGTGGGGGCCGGCGGGCCCTGGGAGCGATGGTCGTGGTGGAGGACGTAAAGGTTGGGCCCCAGGGCAGTCGGTACCCTGGGGGTCGAGTGGCTCTTTTGTGTGCTAGGGCGTTGGTGGTTCTGGAGGCGCGGTGACCTGCACGTACCACGTGCTGAGCGGCCCGCAGGCAGGCCAGGTCTGCGGGCACGCGGGGCATACCGCCGCCCCCTGTTACCGCCTCATGGACGACCTCTACCGTCGCCAATTCGGTCCCCTGGTGCAGGTACCTTACTGGACCACTGTGCTTCGTCATAGTGTTTCGATCTTTAATTTGGATATAGTTCAGATAGGTCATGCCTTGTATTCTCGGTATGCTGATAACTCTAGTGCGACTAGTTCTTGTTATCTTGTTGCGTGTAGCCTAGGAGCCACTGCTGTGTGTAATATAGGATCCCCTGTTGCGTCAGGCGTAGGCTCTGTTATCGATCCTTCGTTGGGCCCTACCACGTCGGCCCTCTCATTTATCCTAGACTCTAGCTCATCACGTTTCTTCTTTAGAGAGAGTACTGCTCTCACCCCGCTTCCTGCATATGTTCGCGTCGCACTAGAAGACTCTTCAGCCACAGCTGTCGCATGCAACACCACCACATTCCCCTGTCCAGCTATCCCCTCAGGATCCCTTACTGGTCTGCACATCCCCTCGTTTGCCAGGAACTTAGTGGGTGTCGGTCACCTCCAAGACCAAGGCATCACCACCACGTTCCCTGGCCACGAGCGATGTGCAGCCTGCACAGACACAGCCACCGGTCGCCACCTAGCCACTTTTGAGCGTGACCCAGGGTCCGGTCTCTTCACCCTGCACAATGAGTCACCGTCAGTTGCCGCGTCTGCTGAGGTCGCCGTGTCCTGCTCCTGTCACACACTGGCCCACCCGAACCTTCGAATGCACCACCGTTTAGGTCACCCTGCACTCTCGCGTCTTAAGCACATGTCCCAGCACGGTCTAGTTACTGGTCTCCCCGCGTCGCTCCCCGCCTTGCGTGTGTCAATAGTGCCACTGTGCACCTCTTGCGTCGAGGGCTGGCAACGCGCCGCCCCCCACTTTTCCTCCTTTCTTCCTACCACAGCGCCGTTACAGACACTGCAAATGGACGTCTCGGGCCCTGCCCCGCTCCATAGTCTTAGTCGGGAGCACTACTTTCTAGTCGTCGTTGATGACTTCTCGCGGTTCACCACAGTGTTCCCGTTGGAGCAGAAGGTCGACATACCTACAGTTCTCCTCTCATGGCTTCTTGCTGTTCGCAGTCACCATCACCTACCTATAGTTTGCTTACACTCTAACCATGGTGGCGAGTTCTCCTCTGGCTGTCTAGGACAGTTCTGTCGTGCGGAGGGTATCCGCCAGACATACAGACTGTCGGACTCCCCATAGCAGAATGGGGTCAGTGAGCAACGCATCGGCCTGCTCATGGAGCTAGCTTGAACCTCATGGTCCACGCCGGTGCACCCTATTTTCTGTGGCCGTTTACAATGCGCTACACTGCTCACCAGCTTAACCTGTAGCCTCGCTCCCAGCGGCCACAGGTTTCGCCGACCCTTCTCCGGACCGAGCAAGCACCCCAAGGACCAGCACCCCCAGAACCAGCACTACTAGAACCAGCACCCCCATAGTCCACAGTCCCCCGTCGCTGCTCCTACTGCGGCTGCTACTGTTGCTGATGCTACTGCTGCGGAGGCGGCAGCGGGGGAGGCTGTTGATGTGCCTGGGGCACCGGGATCGGGGGGAGGGGCGCCGCAGCTGCGACAGGCACACCCCTAAACACGGGGCCTCCAGGGTCAACAGAATGCCCCACAAGCCCAACCGAGGGGAGAGGAGTGGCATGGGAGACACCAAACGGGGTCGGGCGGGGTGGGAGGTTAGCGACACACGGAGGAGGGGCGAGTAAGAGAGGGGGAGGACAAACACGAGCGCCACGGTAAGGAAAGTGAGCTCATTTGATTCGGACGCATCGAACGTAACGTCAGACGAGTGAAAGAAGTGGTGCTGTCCCGTATGGTAGAACAGCCAGTCAGGAGTGTCAAGCCGGAACACGAGTACGACACAAGGGAGAGTGAAGCCTGAGAGCTTTTCTGTACTGGGTGCGTGGACGTGAGCCAGGCAGCCCCGGACGTGGAACGCAGACGCATCACCAGGAGACCCAGTCCAGAGGAGGGTCGACCAAACCAGTGGCTGCGAGGAGCGAGACCACAGGTTAAGCTGGTGAGCCGCGAACCGCACCACGAACAACCACAGAAAATGGGGGGCACCGGCATGGACCATGGACGTGCGGGCCACCTCCATAACTAGGCCGATGCGTCGCTCAGCTACCCCATTCTGGTGCGGCGAGTCCGGAAGGTTGAACGTCTGGGTGATGGCCTCCGCACAATCGAACGCACTAAGACGGCCGGAGGCGAACTCGCCACCACGCTCGGAGTGAAGACCGAGCACAGGCAGGGAGCGTTGGGTGCGGACGACACGGAGCCACAGGAGGAGGGCGTCAGGCATGTTGGCATTCGGCTCCAACTGGAAAACCGTGTGAAGTCGTCAACAACAACCAGAAAGTGGTGCTCCCTCTGAGGCCCCTGGGCCCGGGCGGGGCCCCAGACCTCCATGCGCGGAGTCTGTAGGGGAGCAGTGGTTGGGGGAAACGAGGAGGAGTGAGAGGGGCACTGGCGCTAGTGGATGCAGGTGCACTAACAATGAGAACGGCCGTGGCAGCTGTGACTATAGCAGTGGCGAAAGTGGCTGAAGTGGCTGTGTAGCGGTAGGCCGGCAGCTAGCTGGCGATTGGGCCGGCGGTTGGCTGACTGCGGGCTGTGCGGCTGGCAGGCAGCTGCCGAGGAGCTGGCTGGCAACTGGCGGGCGGCTGGTCGGCTACGGGCTGACGGCTGGCTGAAAGCTAGAGGGCGGGCGGCTAGTGGAGGCAGGCAGCAGGAGCTAGCGGCAGCAGCGAGTGTCCAGCGGCAAGCGGCAGTAGCGAGCAGCGGGCGGTAGGCGGCAGCAGCCAGCAGCAGGCGGCAGGGGCGAGCGGCAGGCTGACGGCGGCGAGCAGCAGGTTGGCGGCAGCGGTAGCGCACGGCAGGCTGGCAGTAGCAGCAGCGAGCGGTAGGCCAGCGGCAGCGGCAGGGAGCGGCAGGCTGGTGGTTGCGGCAACGAACGGCAGGCTGGCGACAGGCTGGCAGCGAGCTGCGGTGACGAGCTGCTGGCGGCAAGCTGGTGGCGGCGAGCTCGTGGCGAGCCGCCAGTGGCGAGCTGGCGGCGGCGAGCTGCTGGCGGCAAGCGGGCAGGCAGCGAGCTGGCGGCGACAAGCTGGAGGTTGGAAGCTGGCGGCGACGAGCTGGTGGCGAGCTGGCCGGCGGCGACCTGTGCTGGTGGCGAGCAGCGGGCAGTGCACGGCGATGACACGCGGCTAGCGGTGGGGAGCGAGCGGCGCGCTGGCAGCGCGCAGAGTGGGTGGCGCGGAGTTGACGGTGGGTAGCGGGGAGCGCGGATGCAGGGAGGCGGCCTAAGGCTAGAGTGCAGGCTAGGGCAGCATACTAGGGCGTAACCTAGTCTAAGGAGGTAAGCTAGGATGGGAAAGGAGTGGGGAGCACCTAGGATGGAAGCGTGGCAACTATGAGCTAACCTAGCTCGATACCATATGGAGAGGAGAAAAGTTTACTAGTGCAAGAGCGGCAAGAGAGTTTGTATCTAAGAGTTGTACCCTATATAAATTGCACATGGCTAGGCAATAGTTTATATATATATTCCTAACATATATAAAAACTCTAACTTAATTAGTCTAAATAAGATTAAAAAAAAAACCAGGGGATTATGTCTTGTGGGATTATACGTACAGAAGGTTAAACGATACATAATCTTGTGGGTAAAAGTGGTAGGTATATGGAGCATGGATGATTATACCCTGATGGCTTGAAATCACTAACCACATTTTCTACAT